GTGTGAGGCAGCAGGGTGCCTAACCTGTGGGTCCAACAGATACTTAGGATTTCTAGTTAGGCATGGTGGCACACCATTGTAATCCCAGCAAAGACAAGACTCAGGCAGGAGGATCATGAATCAGAGGTTAACTTGGGCTACATATTAAGTTCAAGGCCAGTCAAAAAAAATTTTAAATTATTTTTATTATGGAGGCAGATAGAGCTATTCTTCTGTCCTGACTGCCCAGTCCCAAATAATCGCACAAAAAAGCTTGTATTAATTATAGGATGATGGACCTATCGCTCAGGCTTGTTATTAACTAGCTCTTACAACTTAAATTAACCCGTTTTTATTACTCTACACTTTGCCATGTGGCTTGTGGCTTTACCTGCTGTCTAGCACATCTGGCACATCTTGTTCCTCTGGCACCTAGCTCACATCTCTCTCAAATCCACCCTTCTTTCTTCCTGCACCTGTTTGGCTTTCCCGCCTAGTCTTATTCAGCATGGCTATAGGCCAATTCAGCTTCATTATTAACCAGTGAGAAGAATACGTATTTACAGCATAGAGGACTATCCCACGGCATTGTACACTTACTCTTTACTCTTCTACCCTTGTTTCTACCCCAACAGTCTCCTTGTGACTCCGTGTTGAGTGAGCTGTCCCCCTCCCTGCTCTTGGATATTTACATCCACTCAGTGTTTTAGTTCTCCGCTCGTCTCCAATTTATCTTCACTGAGATTGACAACCCTGCTCATTCTGGCCTCCTGTGAATCTTCCATAACACCTCTGTCTTAGGGTTTCAAGCTGTGAGGAACACCACCACCAAAAGCAAGCTGGGGAGGAAAGGGTCTATTTGGCTTAGGCTTCCATATCACCGTCCATCATTGAAGGAAGTCAGGGCAGGAACCTGGAGGCAGGAGCTGGACAGAGGCCACGAAAGGGGAGCTGCTTACAGGTTTGCTCAGCCTGCTTTCTTATAGAACCCTGGTCCACCATCCCAGAGATGGTACCACCCACATGGGCTGGGCCCTCCCCTACCAATCACTAAGAAAATACTTTACAGCTGGATCTTTTCGTTTGTTATTTTCTGTTTTTTTTTTTTTTTTTTTTTTGTTAAAGGGTTTCTCTATTTTGCTTTGGAGGCTCTCCTGGAACTCACTCTGTAGACCAGGCTGGCCTGGAACTCAGAGATTCGTCTGCCTCTGCCTTCTGAGTGCTGGCATTAACCCACCACCAACACCTGGCCTTACAGCTGCATCTTATGGATTTTTTTCCCCCCAATTGGGGTTCCTTTCTCTCAGATGATTGTAGCCTGTGCCGAGTTGTGTTGTGGTAAACTAAACTCTTTTTGTACACTGTGAAGATGTGTTGATCTCATTGGTTTAATAAAGAGCTAAATGGCCAATAGCTAGGCAGGAGGAGGTGCAGGTGGAACTCTGCAAGGTGGTGGTGGGTTGGCCATCCAGAGGCACAGGAAGCAGGATGTGCAGGAGACTGAGGAACAAGCCATGAGCCATGTGGCAGCATGTCAATATGGGGTAATTTAAGTTGTAAGAGCTATTTAGTAACAAGCTTAAACTACCAGCTGAGCATTTATAATTAATAAGTCTCTGTCTGGTTATTTGGGAGCTGGCTGGTAGGACAGAAACATCCACCTACAAAGCTGACATAAAATTAGGCAGCACTTGAAATCCTCCTATCCCACTGGGTCGCTGCTTCATGAATTCAGACAGACTAAACCCGGCACCTTCACTTGACAATTCCAAATCACTATTTTCTTGTTTGCTGATTTACTTAATTTAGATAGCGTCTTACCAGGTAGCCCAGGCTGGTCTAGAATTGGTTTTGTAAGCCAGACTAGTCAACCTATCATCCTCTTTCCTTGGTGTCTTCAGTGCTGGATTACAGGCAAGCTCCATACGCCACCCCCACCCCGGGTACTTGATTTGAGACAGAATCTCAGTATGTAGCCCAGGCTGTCCTGGAACTCACTATGTAGACCATGCTGGCCTTGAACTCTGAACCACCTACCTCTATCTCCTCAGTACCGGAGTCAAAGGTGAGCACCACCATACTTGGGCCTGTTTTCTTTTACCGGTTTTCACTACATAGTCCAGGCTGGACTGGAACTTGCTGTGCTGTCTAAAATGGCCTCTAACTCCTGTTCTCTCCTGTGCTGGGGACTGAACCTGGGACCTTGGCATGCAAGTCCACTGAACTCCATCTCTAGCCTGGACATGACTTCTCAGCCCTCTGGCTCCAGCATTACATATGCCTGCAGTACAGGGGTGTAACACTGCTGAGTCCTTACAGGGCATCTGAAGAATGGAGAAATGACGCATACTCATGGACAGAAACAGGCATACAGAAAAGTTGAGATCAGGTAGACAGGACTCTCTGATGAGAAAGCTACACCACCCTGGAAGTTTCATGTGTTATTACATACAGTTGAACAGAGGTGAGAGGCGGGTTATTGACTACATCTGAAGGAGGTGTCAAGATTACTATATACAGCCACAGAGAAACCCTGTCTTGAAAAAACAAAAACAAACAAAAGGTTACTATATACAGCTGAACAGGGAAGTAGGTTTACTTAATCTCAGTGTAAGTCCTGTAGGGGAAGTCTTTAGGTGATATCAAGGCGGGGGGGGGGGGGGGGGGGGGGAAGTTGGACAAAGCTATGGTGGATATTTTCTACACAGACTATCAACTTCTGCTCATGGATAAGAGGAAGACTGCCATCCCTCCGAGCCTTGGGGCGGGGGCTTGCCATTTCCCCATGGCTGTGCCCGTGTCAAGGGATATATTCACTCGGCATCATCTGTTCCACATACAAAGTTTTTAGTGTGTGTGTTTGGGGGGTATGTTGGTGTGTGTGAGTACATGCCTGTGTGTGTATGTGGGGTGTGCTGGTGTACATGAGTACATGCCTGTACCAACCCATCCCATGTCATCCCCAACCCCCAAATTCATGGCTTTCTTCCTCCCTCCCTCCCATCTTCAAGGCATGGTTTCACTATGCAGCTAGGCTGGCCTTGAATTTATGGAAATCCACCAGCCTCTACCTCCTGAGGGCAACACTATTCTCAACCTTCTTTCTTATTGTCCCTCCACCTCTCCCCCTCACACACACATACTTAAATACATAAGCCAGGTGTGGTGACACACGCCTCTAATCCCAGCTGTCAGGAGATAGAGACTAGAGGGTCTATGAATTTGAGTCCAGCCTGGTCTACAGAGCAAGTTCCAGGGCAGCCAGGGCTACACAGATAAGACCCTGACTAGAAAACATAAAATAACTATAAGCTGCAGAGTTTATGAACAAATTTAGTGTTGTTGAGGTTTTTAGGACTAACCAGATTGCAGCTTTTCTTCTAGAGGTGGGGCTCCATGACATTTCCCTCATCCATGTGGGCATGTCAACTGGTGTTGGAACTGTTCAGGTCTTGTTTGGCCATTTTCTTGGGGTTTCATGGGTTCAGCTTCCTGTCATGTACAGAAGACACAATCTCACAGCTGTCTTTGTCTTCTCCCTCAGTGCTCCTGAGCCTCAGATGTAGGGTTGTGTTGTGGATGCATCAGTTGGTACTGGGCACCCCAGTCAGTTGTTTCTCTGCATTTTGGTCAGTTGTGGCTTTCTGTAATGGTCTTTGTCTGCTTCAAAATGAAGCATTTCAACTGAGGGGTGACAGCCACACTTACCTGTTGTGGAATATTAAAGGTGTGTTACATTCTTTTATGCTGTAGGATATTTGTTTAATGATGCATAGATGTGTTGCATTATTTTATGTTGCATTTGTTTAATTCTGTGAAGCTGTATTACTTTGCCTGTCTAAAACACCTGATGGGGCTGGGCAGTGGTGTCGCACACCTTTAATGCCAGCACTCTGGAGGAAGAGGCAGTCGGATCTCTGTGAGGACAGCCTGGTCTACAGAGTGAGTTCCAGGATAGCTTCCAAAGCTATTGAGAAACCCTGCCTTGAAAAACAACAAAAACCAAACCAAACCAAAACATTTGATTGATCAAATAAAGAGGTGAACAGCCAATAGCAAGGCAGGACAGAGGCGGGGCCGGATACAGAGAGAAAAATAGGAAAAGAGAAAAGGAGGAGAGGAAGAGGCCAGGGGCCAGCCACTCAGTTGGCAAAGTAGTAGTAAAGAAAGACATGTAAGAGAAAGGTAAAAGCCCAGAGGCAAAAGATAGACAGGATAATTTAAGTTAAAAGCTGGCTAGAAACAGCCACACCAAGGCTAAGCATTGAAGAGTAAGAATAAGTCTCTATTTATTTGGGACCTGGGTGGGGATGCCCAAAGAGTAAAAAACAAAGTACACTTATCTGTGGATATTAGGGTAAGTATTTAGGATACAGTTGGAAATTATACCGGTTCAAGAAGTGGCAATGGAATGAATGCCGGGCAGTGGTGGTGGCTGCCTTTAATCCCAGCACTTGGAAGGCAGAGGCAGGTGGAGCTCTGTGAGTTCCAGAACAGGCTCTAAAAGCTACAGGGAAACCCTGTCTTGGAAAAAAAAAAAAAAAAAAAAAAAGTGGCAGTGGTAGTTCCTCTAAGACCCATGACCTCATTAGCCACAACAGGTGGCTAGGGTCACCAGGCATGAATTCACCCTATTGAGTGGGCCTTAAATCAAGTTGGATAGCCACTATTGCATGTTTAGGGTTATCTTGCCCTGCTGGTCATTAGTGTGGTTCAGACTTTATAGTTGGGCAGGACCATTGATTGGTTTTCCCCTTTGGCAACTTAAGACCTGGTACTTGAGAGCTTGCCCTCAGAAGAGACTTTTGGTCGGATCCAGGTAGATTCCTCCAAGTCCTATAACCCCCCCCCCCTTTTTAACCTTCTATTCTTCCCAGTAGATATTTACATCTGAGCAGGTTGATCATCTCCTTACGACAGCCATTCCCTGCTATTCTCATGGCTCTCCTCATTAAACAGCAACAGGCTAATACTACTCTTCGGTGATCTCAGCTACAAACCAAAATAGGTTCATGCAACTCTTTTATTTTATTTTATTTTATTTATGTGTATATATGTATGTAGTGTCAGTGTCATGGAGGCCAGAAGAGGGCATCAGATCCCCTGGGCTGGAATCACAGTTCTGAGATATCCAACGTGGGTCCTGAGAACTGAGTTCAGATCCTACGTAAAAACAGCAAATGCTCTTAATCCACTGAATCATCCATCCTCCTGCCCAAATTTTACACACACACACATACACACACACACACACACACACACACACACACAGAGTTTGGGGGGAGGTACACGACTGTAGGAAGAATCCAACATTTAATGTACCCTTACAAATTAATGACTTGCTTCAAATTTTAAAAGACTTGGTTAAGCTTCTGTGGTTTATCCAAAAGCAAATCAAGAGGACTTGGGCTAAACTGACCTTAACCTACACCTGCTAGGAAGGATGTTATGTCCAAGCATTTCAGGAACTCCTACAGCTGGTTTACTAGCCACTTTAAAAATGATTTATTACTTCAAAAGTACTTGAAAAAAAATCAGTCAACTTTGTCATATATCTTCTGTTCTATAATACCTCTAATTTACCTAGGTACCATTCATTTCCTTATATTTCTTTGTGCGTCTTCTCTAAGCATAGCTTTTTGAGATAGGTTTCAGGTTAGGAACTCAGTGAGTAGCAGATGAGGTTAATTTTTTGTTCCTTTTGCATGTACCTCCCACAAACTTGGATTATAGGTATGTCTCATCACGAGTAGCTTTATTATCTGAGACAGAGCTGGCTTGGTACTTAATTCAGTTTGCGGTTGCTTTGTTCTCATGGCACACCTCCTACTTCCAATTGTGGAGTGCTGGGATTACAGACATGCAGCATGGATGCTACTGTTTATTTAAATTAATTGCTAGAATGTACTCAACAGAGATCCATCTGTCTCTTCTTCCCAAGTGTTGGGATTAAAGATGTGCACCACCACTGCCTGGCCCACTGTGTTGTTTTTAAAGCAACAGCAGGCAGTAGGTTGCAAGCTGTAGTTTTCAGACCTCTCTGAGCTACAAAGAACACGTCCCAGAGCCCATGGTTTACCACCCTTGTTCCATATGCTGTCAGATCCCAGCACAATATCTTACTGTAATCGTGTACTCTTCTGTTAGGTAGGGTACCACTCTGCCACAGGAACCCTCCCTCATCCTGTTGAGTACTCTTGTGGAGGGTAGACAGTATTTGTCCTGTCCCTCAATTGTTCCAAAAATGCATAAAGCTAGGGACAACCTCAGTTGGTGGAAAACTTGCCTATCATGTAGGAAGTTCCAGCCCCCAGTCCTGAATAAACCAGGGGTGGTGTGACTCATACCTGTAATCAACTCCCAGGAGGACCAGGTGTTCAAGGTAATCTTTATATTAAGGGAGAAGGGATTTATGTGTTGTGTGTGTTTTGTGTGTGTCCACAGAGACCAAGAGAGTATCAGATCCTATGAAGCTGTAGTTAAAGGTGCTTGAAAACTGCTGCAATGGGTGCTGGGAACTAAACTCCAAGTCTTCCAACAAGCAGTATGAAGTCCTAACTGCTGAATTCTTTCCCAAAATTACACAGCAATGAGACCAGTATGGGTTTACAGGAAACCTGTGTTGGATATTCTTGGTTGTCAGCTCGACTACAGCTGTAATTAACTAAAACCCAAGCAGCTGGGTACATATGTGAGGGATTTTTAAAATTAAATCATTTTAAGTGGGAAGACTCACTTTTAATATGGATCTTTTGAGGTGGGGAGATTCACCTGTAATCTAGGCCATATCTCCTGGTGGCAGCCTATACAAAGGACATGGAAGAAGAAAGTTCTGTCTTGTTGCCTGCTTGCCCTCACTCTTGATGGCAAACCGTTCCTTCACTAGCATTAGAGCATCCAATGAACTAAGTAATTTCTGAGTTTCTTAGATCTTCTTAGATCTTGGTGGACAGCCATTGCTGGACTAGCTGAACCACAAGAGGGCTATAAGCACCCTGCCCTGCATCCAGGCATATATGGTTTGAAAGAAAATGGCCCTCAAAGGAAGTGGCACCATTAAGAGGTGTGGTCTTGTTAGAGGAAGTGTGTTACTGTAGAGGTGGGCTTTGAGGTCTCATACAAGAGCACGTCCAGTGACAGACCACTTCCTGCCAGTCAAGCCATACGACTCTCAGCGCCATCTCCAGCACCATGTCTGCCTGCACAGCACCACGCTGCACCACGATAACAATGGACTAAATCTCTGAAAATGTGAGCTACCCTAATTAAATGTTTTTTCCTTTATTCCTTTCTAAGAGTTGCCATGGTCATGGTGTCTCTTCATAGCAATAGAAACCCTCAGACAACAGGGTTTCTCTGTGTAGCCCAACTCAGAGAACCACCTGCCACCCAAGTGCTGGGACTAAAGGCTTGTGTCACCATCATTCAGCTTCCAGCCACCTTAATAAACACCTCCCTCACCTTCCCCCTCTCTCTGTTCTGTTCCTATAGAGAACACTGACTAATACACATTGTGGTACCGAGAGTGGTTGAGAGCAACAGAAGAGTACAAGGATGAATTTTTAAGTATCTGGAAGAGGCTTTTCAGTTTGCCAACACCTACAGTTAACAAAGCCTCTCCTGGGAGCCCAGAGAACTGGAAGTCCATGGTGCAAACTATTTTACAAACTTGAGGAGACTAAGGCATTGGTTATCCTGATTCACCAATTGTGAGAGGCAACAGATTTGATGACTCTATATAAAAATTTGGCTATTTCTGGAAAAATAAAGAAAATGATGATTATGGTTGGTTTCTCCTAGTACCTCTGGATAAATTGACAAAAGAAAAGAATGCGGTCTGGGATAAAATTAACCAAATTCAAACATCTCAGAATATGGTGAAGGACAACAATGAATTCAGTGATAAAGCAGACCAGCTCCAGGGTTCTATAAACAAACAAGAGCGTTCTAAGTTTGCCCTGGAAGAGAATCCTCTCCTCAGCCAACACAGAGCTCAATTTGTAGAAAATCAAGGAAGCCCTCATAAGACTGGCTGAATTACAAAGACACCCAGCCTCTAAGGGTGTCGGTGGTTACAGTAAGAGCATTAGCTGCTATGGACTGGGGTCCTGGAACTTGCCCCCTTCGAAGATCCCAGAAGGCTGAGAACTTTGAACCCTCAGATTCTCAAGGGTTTATCTCACCTGAGGAAGTAGTCTCTCCACCCTCAGTAGAAGATTAACTTTTACCACCACAACCTGAAATATTGCCTTTCCAAATGGACGAAGGATGTGAAGATACTCCTGTCTTGAAAAACAGAAACAACAATAAAAAAGAAAACAAAGGTGAATTCAGCAAAGTGGGAGCTCAACAATCAACTAGAGAGAATGGCAGTTCTGTGGACAGGCAGCCTCTTTCCCAGGGACAGGATCTGCCACTGCCAATGTGCACCTAACTAAGTGGCCATAGTGGCAGAGGTGGAGGTTTTATGTGGGCTCAACCACAGTGACTGCACTCACTGAAACTGCCCTGCAGGGCTAGGACCTCGTGGCAGGCTGACAACAGACCCCTTCCTCCATGGAAAGGAGAACACTTTGTCCTTATTGGAGGAGATACTTGTTCTGATTATGGATTTGCCTTTCCTGCACATGCTTTTGCCAAAACTACCATCTGTGGACTTGTCACCAACATGGTATTCCACACAGCAGTACTTCTGACCACGGAACTTAATTCATAGCCAGAGGAGTGCAACAGTGGACTCACGATCATGGATCCACTGGTCTTACCATGTTGCTACCTCCTGAAGCAGCTGGTCTGATAGAAAGATGAAATGGCCTTTTGGAGACAATTACAGTGCCAGGGAGTTGGCAGTAGCATGCAGGGCTGAGGCGGGGTTCTCCAGAAGGCAATGTATGAATACTCTGAATCAGTGTCCAATATATGGTAGTTTCTCCTACAGCCAGGTCCAAGGGTGGTTCCATTATCACTCCCTATCCTCTGAAACACTTCTGTCAGGAGGATCAATATTCCAGTGAACTGGAAGCTCAGACTCCCACCTGGCCACTTTGGATGTCCTTACACCATCAGGTTAAGATTACTATGAACTGGACTGCTCTCCACAAGGGAGGTATAAAAAGTTACGCCTGTAGTGCAGGAGATCTTTCAGGGTATCTCTTGGTGCTACCATGTCCTGTAATTAAATCCAATGGGAAACTTCAGCCTAACCCAGGCAGGGCAATGTAGGTGTGGATCACTCCTCCAGGAAAAGAATCAAGATCTACTTAAGTGCTGGCTGAGGATGGAGGAGATACACAATGGGTAGTAGAGGAAGGTGGTTACAAATAACAGCTAAGGCCACATGACCAGCTGTAGAAACGAGGATTATAACTGACACGTTTGTGTCCCATTTTGTTAAGAATGTGTGTGCTGCCTAGTTTATGTCAACTTGACAAAAACTGAGGAGCTATAGGAGCTGAGGGAGCCTCAACCAAGAAAATGCCCCCAGTCCAATACAGTCCAATAAATATTGGACTGTAGGCAAGCCTATTTTCTTATTGATTGATGGAGGTAGGGGAAGGAAGACAGCCCATTGTGGGTGGGGCCATCACTGGGTTCATTAAGAAAGCAGGCTGAGCTGGGCAGTGGTGGTTCAGCCTTTAATCCCAGCACCCAGGAAGCAGAGGCAGATGAATCTCAAGGCCAATGTTACACAGAGGAACCCCGTCTTGAAAAAGAAAAAGAAAAAGAAAAAGAAAAAAAAAAGAGCAGGCTGAACAAGTCATGGAAAACAAGCCAGTAAGCCACACCCCTCCATGGCCAGCATCAGCTCCCATCCTAACGCCCTTCAGTGATGAACAGTGATGTGGACGCATAAGCCAAATAGACCCCCTTCCTTCACAAGTGCTTCAGTCATGGTGTTATATCACCGTAATAACCCTGATAAAGACAGTATGTTTGTACAGGTATTTGTGGCTTTTTTTCTCTTGGCTTTTTGAGATGGGGTTTCTCTGTGTAGCCCTAGCTGCCCTGGAACTCACACTGTAGACCAGGTTGACCTTAAACTCAGAGATCCACCTGCCTCTGTCTCCCAAATGCTGGGATTAACAGTGTGCGCCACCACACCTGGCTGCCTTATTCCTTTGAGTCAATGTCTGTCACTGAACTTGGAGCTGGGTAGGGACCAGTAAGCTCCAGTGGGCCTCCGATCTCTGCCCCACACAGGAGGGAGTTAACGACATTCTTGACCGTGCTCAGTTTTTCTGCATGTGCTGGGAATTTGAACTCAGACCCTCATACTTGTGCAGCAAGAACTCTCACCTGCGGCCATCTCCCAGCCCAGCAAAGTCCTTATGGAGGTTTGCAGACAGCAGCATAGTTCTTTCCAGTCCCATCCCTGCACTTAGGTCCAGAGACCCCAGGGAGCAGAAGCTCCCCAACTGCAGTAGGCTTCCAGATGGAGGGTGCTTGCTGGAAAAAGAGGAGCCGGCAAGTCTTCTGGAGTGTCCCCCACATGCAGGAACGTTTAGGGAAACAGATTTCAGGCTAAAGGCATACTCAGAAGAGAATAGTTACATCCCTGGAGGCAGGAGGGCACAGAGCACAAGGACGTAATGTATGCATGTCAGTCTGTGGTCCATTACCAAGCCAGGGGGACAGGCAGTGAGAGAGAGGTCAAAGCAAGGAAGACTGACATAAGGGGAGTAGTTAAGAATTTAGAGTTGAGTGACAGGTTTATTAGTGAACACCATGGACAGCACGGACAGCACAACCAGAGAACTGCAGAGACACCAGCTTTCGACTCCTCACTCATCAGAGAGGAAGGAGGGGACAGTGTGGTCCTGGGCAAGGCAGGAAGGGGCAAAGAGGAATGAAAAAAAAAAAAAACAAAAAACAAAAAACAAACCACAGTAACCCTACAAAGTATAGCAGCCTCTTCAAATTCCTGAGCACGTTGCCTTAGAGCTGGAATACCAACTCTTCCTTATGGTCCTCAAGCTGCTTCCTTGCACCCTGATCCCAAAAGAGCCATGACTCAGCTCCCTCAACCAACAGCTGGCCTGGAACGAAACTCCCAAAGAGAAGCTAGTATATGGCGAAGGGGGTCCCGGACCTTGCCAATCCCACAGCAACATGAGCTTTTAAAACAATCATACTATTCCTCCTTGTCACCACAGGGACCCAGCAGTGACCCACAGAGCCCTGAATGGCCCCCAAGTCCTTAGGTGGACTAGGGTTGTGCAGTGTATTCAGCTTGTTTTTGGAAACATATCTAATCTGTACCCCATTTGAAGGTTAGAACCCAAATAAGCAGAAGTTTGCTCAGAAACCCAAGAGTTGCCTTCAATTTTGTCAATATATGTCAATTCTGGGGTTTCACAAGGAGACTGAGGGGCAGGGGCAAATTTCTTTATGGGGTACAGGCATTGGCGATGGACTGTCATAGCCAAAGCTCCTGTTTCAGACAGGGTGATGGAGGAGTAGGGCCAGAGCGGGTATCAGACCACAGGCTGTGCTGAAAAGGAAACATATAAAACAAACCCTACCCAGGCCCACCCTAACCAGAATCCCCACAATAGGAACAGCAAAAGAAAGGTTTTAAGTTTTGATTTTTTTTTTCTTTTTTCCTTTCTTAAAAAAAAAAAAAAGGTAAATAAATTAAATTGCCAACAATGTGGCCAGGCTGGAGAGTAGGACAGCCATAACCAGGCCATTCTCTGAAAACAAAATCAGGTAACAGAAGGGATTTGTGACTCAAGAAATTTAAACAAACAATGCTAAAGGAAATCACACTAACTACAGTCACAGGGCTGGAGAGGGGCCTATGGAGGTACCAGGGACACGCCATGAGACACAGTGCTGGTGCTGGTCCTGGTCAGCAGAGCCGGACTGTAGCTTCCTGCTGAGTGTTAAGAACCCCAGGCGAACCCCACCCCAGCCCTGCCCTTCCCTAATTATGAAAGACTGAAGGAAAGAAGAGTTCGAATGGGCATCTCAGCGTCCCACCCTGCACACTCAGCAAGGCCTGCACCTCAGGGTGGGCTGCACAGGGGCGTGCGTGGCACAAAGTCCAGTCTTCCCCAAGAGTTGTCAGTGATGGCCGGGCACACCCTCAGCACTTCTGCAGGATGTCTGCTCCTCAGAGCTGCGGGGAGTCAGCAAGCCTGCCTGCTCGGATCTCCTGGTTTTGGAAGAGAGGGACAATTAGAGATTCCTCACTCCACCCTGATCCTCTGGGGAAAACAAATTTCTTTGTGCTTTCTGAAAAATATTTGGGATCCAGGGATCTTAGGCAGGAAAATACAGAAGTGGGGTTTTTCCCACCCAGACTGAAACTTTACAACGTTGTGGGGGGGAGGAATATGGCAGAAGGCAGGAACCTGTGTCCACCCGCTGAGAGGCTGAGCGAAGTGCCTCAAGATCCTTGGTGCCAGAAAAGCAGGGAGTGTGTGGCTCAATTACAAGCCACGGCATAAGGACAGTGCTCGAGCTCAGAGCTCAGCAGCTGGAGCAATGGGATTTTCCAATTCTACCTCTTCCTCATAGCCAGTTATGCTGCTCTCTTAGATCTCCTCCACACCATGCGCAAATATCATGACGAGCCCTGGCTCCTGCACCATGTCGTCACCCATATGCTGGTTCTCGCAGGCCATCACCACAACAGCCTGCTTGCCGGGGATGCGCTTAGCCACATAGTTCTCATAGTAGCGCCGGTTCATCTGTCTTGTCTCTAGTGTGGCAAGACCCTGGGGCCAGCTACGTTCATGTGCATTTTCAATCAGCTCGTTGACAATAGAGGCTGGGCAGCCGCTCTCCACCAAGGAGCGCTTGATTACAGCCTGGAGCACAGCGTCAGGGGTGGAGATCATCCCTCCCCAGCGGGTCACTCTTGCCGGCTGCAGGGAGTTCACCCACCTGTGTAGAGGGAGGGGTTAGGATGGTCATTCCAGCTCATGCTTTTCTCTGCTTTGGCTTTTTCTCCTGACAGAAATGATCGCTCCCTCTGAAGGACAATTGGCTTTCTTTCCAGCACTGGTCCAGAGAACTAGTTGATCCTATCCAGGTTATATCACTCGCCATACTCAATTCCACGAGTCTACAGTGTTACTCTTTGAAATCCCAATGCATGCACAGTGCCTACCATGCTGCAGTAACTGCTCACCCAGGGTGTACTCAACGAAACGTGCTCTGTACATACACTGTGTCCTCTCACACAGAGTGTTCTGAAGGAAGAAACGTGTTGTGTACACTGGGGCCTCTAATCCCACACTCTCAGTTCAGTCTATCAACTCTATATGCCTCCTAAACTGAAAGGGGCTTTAGACTTCCCTTGTTCACTTGTTTTTGCTGCATTTTAGATACTTTCACTGGATACACACAGCCTCTCCCCATCTCCCCCAAGACAGGGTTTCTCTGTTGTATCTCTGGCTGTCTTGGAACATAGTCTACAGACTATGCTGGCCTCGAATTCACAGAGATCCACCTGCCTCTGCCTCTCCTAGTGCTGGGACTAAAGGCGTGCAACACCACCACATAGCTCCTCTGGGTTTTAAGTTACCTGTTTGGTCCTGAGTGCCCCTCAGCTAACTCTGACAAGCTGCATCCTCAGGCAGGTTCCCCTCCATCCACCCCAATGAACAAGAGGTCCGTTCTGCAGCCAAGGGTTTTGTTCTTCTTTCAGCCCCTGTCCTTCACCCAACAGCAGCCCAGCCCTATTTCTCTTGCTGCCTTCATCTGCCACTCCCCTGCTCCTCCTCCTCAGGGGCCTTGATGCCAGGACATGGAGTGAGTGACCCCACATCCTGAGCGACACTCACTCGAGGATCTCATTGTACTCAATTGTCTCCTCCAGGTTCTGAAGGTTGGGGTTGACACTTCGGATCGCACGCATATAAGCCTTCAACAGCTGGATGTCTCGCTTCTGTGGGGTAGAAGGAGAACCAGAGGGGACACTTAAGCCAAGCAGCAGAGCTGAGAATGAGGGAGCTTGGGAGGGCTGAGGAACAGGCACTACAAGTTTCTTGGGGAAGACAGCAGAATGCTCTCCCCAGGACTCAGCAGAGTGGCTTTGTGAAGAAGGCACTCCATGTGTTAGGCTAAGAGTGATGTGAGCGAGAGGAAGGGAGTGGGAGCAGCCCCAGCCGATTCTCTTCTGAGCTGTAAGCAGAGCATCTGCTCATCAAGGCAGGAGATCAGGACACAAGGTGTGGTACTCAGGAGGGATTTACAGAAAGGTGAGTGTAATTTTCTGTGATGGGCAGGAGGGATTTACAGAGAGCTGGGTGTAATTTTCTGGGCCTCACCTGTTCGGCCAGCTGGTGCTTGTGTTCAGCGGACGTCTTCTCCAGTTCTGCGATTCGAGTCTGCTGCTGCTGCACCACAGAGCGCAGGTGCTTAATGCAATTGTGATTTGGCAGCTCATCCTTGGGCATCTCCAGGCTGCAGTTCAGAGTCAGGTAAGAGCAAACAGGCTGTTCAGTGGGACCCGTGGGCTAACGGCTCACTGCTGAGTAAGCTTTCCAATACTCACTTCTAACAATCTCATCCTTCTCATGTTTTTCTCCCAAACATCCTCCTGGCCCTACAATGAACTTCCACCCTCAAAACTTAGTGTTGCGGAGGCCCCACCAACACCTTAAGACAAGGTCTCATGTGACCCATTTGTGGCCTCCCATTTGTGCCAAGGATGACTTTGGACTTCTGATCTCGTGCCTCCACCTCCCAAGTGCTGCAAGTACAGGTGTGACCACCATGCTGGCTCATGTGATGTTGGGGACAGAAAAAGTTTTGTGTGTCTAGGGAAGCAAGCACTCTACCAACTGGAAGTCACACAGCCCCACTCCCACCCCCCATTGCTGTCTTCTCCAGCTTTTAAGAGCCAGCCTGATTCTTAGGATGCTGTTCTAAATTAAGAGGGGAATTGCTGTGTCCTGTCAGGCTACTCTGTTGGATTCTACCTGCACTCATACATATTACTTCTGAGGAGTCCTGGATCACTGTCCCAGGTACCTACCAGCGCTTAATCAAGTATTTCCCACCTCACACAGACAGAAAATAGGGCACAAGGGAACATGAGAGGCTAGAAACTGGAGCAGGCAGCCTGACAGAGAGAGTATATTGGACTGGAGAGAAAGGAAAAGTGCCTCCATCTTAAGTGTTATCAGAGGTCACTGGGTTACTGTCCTCTTTCTGTTAACAATGCAAGACCAAAATGACCCTAGTTGGAAAGTGAGATCTGAGGGCCAGCAGGGAGTCAAGAAGCTCAGAAGTGTCCCTGGCCTACAGGCATGGGAATGGGAAGAGCCCTTATCTGAATGGAGGGAAGGACTCTCACCCACAGCCCTGGTCACAGGTCACAGGCCGCTTCGGGTTGTGCTCACAGTCACTGAGGTGGGACATGAGGTTGTCAAGCCGGACAACAGCACTGCAGCCAAACACAGCGTTGTCACAGGCAATCTGTAGCTTTGACAACATGTTCCGCATGATCCGAGGTACTGGGCGTAGGTGGGCAACCGTGACAACACTACGGTCTACCGGGCACGTCTGCTGCTGAGAGAACCACTGGGTGATGCAGGCGTTGCAGAAGGCATGCTCACAGTGAGGTGCCTAGGAGGGACACAAGGGAGTTAACAGGAGCTGAGAGCCTGGATCTACTGACGAGCCAGTCAAACCTCTGAGCAGGTCCTAGGACCAGAGCTCCAGGTGTCATGGTAAATTGCAGATCTATTTGGGGCAGGGCATTTTCGGGTCAGGCGTAAAACTCAGTTCCTGTGCTCAAGAGTTCAAATGAGTTGTGAGACAAGATAAACAAGCAAAGGTTATGTAACAGTAAGAGACATAAATAACATTCCAGGACAATGGGACGATGACAAGGCAGCCAGTTACTAATTGCTGACACAAGTGCAAACGCAATAACTGCTAATGACATCTAGAGGCAGGCATGCTCTTTCCACAGCACTTCCTTATGGAGAGGTCTTCAAGAATGATTCAGATGCAGTTTAGAGGGGCAAAGCCTCACTAACCACAGCAGGAATAATGGAGTACAAGCCCTGCCAGTCCTCTACACTCCCCCACCCCACCCCCACATCCCATCACCCAGAAGACAGAGACAGGCGGAACTCTGTGAGTTCGAGGCCAACCTGGTCTACAGAATGAGTTCCAGGACAGGCTCCAAAGCTACAGAAAGACCCTGACCCCCCCCCCCCCCCAAAAAAAAAAACAGAAAAAGAAAACAAACAAACAAACAAAAAACCCAAGGGGGCTGGAGACATGGCTTAGAGGTTAAGAGCACTGAATGCTCTTCCAGAGGTCCTGAGTTCGATTCCCAACAACCACATGGTGGCTCATGACCATCTATAGTGCCATCTTCTCATGTGCAGGCATACACGGAGGCAGAATGTTATATACATAATAAATAAAATCTTTAAAAAAAAAAAAAACTCAACAAATAAATAGAAAAGAGAGACAGAGTACAAGAGCGCCTCGTGGCAATACATGGACTGACGCAGAGGTCTCGTACATGCCTGCCCTATATGGGAAGACCTTATTACCCCAGAAAACAAATGGGGCTGGTGAGATGACTCAGTTGCTACCAAGCCTGAGTTAGATCCTTAGGATCCACATGGTTCCATGGACTGCCCGTACACACACACTCACACACACACACACACACACACTGAATAAATAAGTAAATGTAAGTAAAAAAATCCGGGTGTGGTGGTGCACACCTCTACTCCCATCTCTTGGGAAGCAGGCAGATCTCTTTAAGTTCCATGCCAGCCCAGTCTATACAGTGAGACCTTGTCTCAACAAACTGTCACTCTCAACCCCTAAACAAACAAACAGGGGCTGGAGAGATGATTCAGCAGTTAACAGCCCTGGCTGCTCTTCCAGAGGACCCAAGTTCAGTTCCCAGCACCCACATGGCAGCAGCTCACAATAAACTCTAACTTCCATTTCAGGGGATGACATCATCCCTTGAAACTTTTGACACCATTAGGAACCTAAATACATGTGAAATTCCCTCCCCCTCCAAATAAAAAATATTTTTTTCTTTCTTATTCTCTCAGATAAAAAATATTTTTAAAGAATGAAAAGAAAACAAAAGACCCAAGAACAAAGCAAGTAGCTAAAGTGGGGAAAAGTCTGAGAGCTAAGCGGGTTCTCTGTGTAGACTCCAGTTCTTCTCTCTCAGGCTTGTCCTACCCTTTCCCTGAGGTGTTGCCGCTGATTCACAACTGCTACACTTAGGCTGCTAAACAGGACTAGTGCATTTGAGGGACAGCGCTGTTCTCAGTTTTAAGTTCATGGTTGGGGTGGGGGTGGGTGTGTGTGTGTGGGGCACACTCAGCTCCCGGCACTCAGAAGTGTAAACTAAGTTCCAGGCTACTTACTGCGATTACACAACCATACCCTGATTCAAAAACCAAAGCAAGCCAGAAGGGTTAAAAATGCTATTGCGCCGGGCGTTGGTGGTGCAAGCCTTTAATCCCAGCACTCGGGAGGCAGAGGCAGGCGGATCTCTGTGAGTTCGAGGCCAGCCTGTTCTCCAGAGCGAGTGCCAAACTCGCTCCAAATGACACAGAGAAACCCTGTCTAGAAAAACAAAACAAAAAACAAAACAAAACAAAACAAAAAAACCCCAAAGCAACCCCATATATAAAGATGTACTTATTCCTTTGAGAAGGTTCCCTGGTCCCTGTGAAGACACTTTTTGGCAGCCAGCAATGGGCAACAGTGTACCTTTGATTTATTGTGTGTGCCTACATTTGGGGTGTGTTAGTGCAAGCGCATATGAACCATGGAGCTCCATCCACCGTGGGTTCCACAGAGTGAACTCAGGTCATCAGGCTCGTGTGGAATGTGCTTCAACCCATCTCACAGGCTCAGGTTTGATTTCTCAGAGACTGAGACACAGGACTGGGGAGATGGCTCAGCAGGTGAGATTGTCTTTTGGCCTCCACGTGTGCCATGGCACACCCGTGCCTATTGACATACACAAAATAATAAATGATAAAGTGTTAACTAAGAGGATATAAAATACACTAATAAAAAAGCTATTTATGAACAAATAAAATTAAAATGAAAAACTAAATCCTCAACATTATGTATGGTACTTCTCAAAACTTTTGCCCTTATGTTTTTTGAAACAAAGTCACATGTAGGTTACCCTGTCCTTGAAGTAGCTGTATCAGAAGGGCTGGGTTCAGAGGCCACCGCACTTTCTATGTCAGAGGGGCTGGGTTCAGAGGCCAACACACTTTCTGTGTCAGAAGGGCTGTGTTCAGAGACCACCACACTTTCTTGGGTCATCTTAAAGTCTAAACATACCGTCTAAGGAAAAACACAAATCCTAGCTCTATCTGCTCTCCTCCATCATTGTTGCTACTAATCTATTTTAAGTGACTATCACATCGCCTCTGACCTAAATTATTAACTATGCCTGCCAACTGGTTTCTCTTGCCTTCTATTATCCTCTCTACATCTATCAGTCAGAGCCATTATTTCAAAGTGCCGACCGGGGCTGGGGACATAGCTCAGTGGCAGAAAACCTGCCTAGCAAGAACAAGGTGGTGGGTTCCATCTCTAGCACCACCAGAAAAAAAAAGAGAGAGAGAGAGAGAAATGAGCTAAGTTCCTTCCTTCCCTCTATACACTCTCTTTCATCGTTAAGACACCAACTAGAGAAGGGCTGCTGAGATAGCTCCGACAGGGTGCTTCCCGCAATACTGATGACCTGAGTTCAATACCCAGGACTCCTGTGGAAAAAGAAAATTGACTTCTACAAGTTGTCCTCTGAACTGTGTGAGTATATGCACTCATGCATGCACTCATACACATAAACATTCTAAATGTTTTTAAAAATTTAATTTAAAAATTTAAGAATGTAATTACATCAGAAAATACTTCTTAGCCAGGCAGTGGTGGCTCAGGCCTTTAATCCCAGCACTCTGAAGGCAGAGGCAGGCGGATCTCTGTGAGTCTGAGACCAGCCTGGTCTACAAGAGCTAGTTCCAGGACAGGCCCCAAAACCAAAAAAAAAAAAAGAAGAAAATACTTCTTAAAAATATATTTGCTTTTTGCTTTTTTGAGACAAGGTTTCTCTGTGTGATAGCTCTAGCTGTCCTGGAACTCACTTTGTAAACCAGGCTGGTCTCAAGCTCAGAGAGCTACACCTGCCCCCTTTTTAAAGCCAGATTTGGTGACACACAATTTTAATCCTAGCACTCAGGAAACAAAAGCAGGTGAATCTCTATGAGTTTGAGGCCAGCCTGGTCTACATATCAAATTTCAGGACAGCCAGGGCTACACAGAGAGACCCTTTCACCAAGAAAAAAAAAAAGTTCACAATAGAGATACAAAATAAGTTAATAAAAACTAAATATGTACAGACTGGGCATGGTTGCACGTATGTCTATTCCTCAAGCTAGGGAGGCTGAAACAGCAGAGTCAAGAATCTGAGACCAGAGCTAATGAGATGGCTCAGGAGGCTAATGCATTTCCCACCAAGTTTGGTGTCCTACGTACAATCACAGGGATACACATTGTGGAAGGAGAGAACAGACTTCTACTAGCACACCATGGCATGAATATGCGCGCGCGTGCGTGCGCACACACAGACACACAGACACACAGACACACAGACACACACACACACCCAGACCTACACACCCCTACCTTAGGAAAAAAAAAAGTCAGGACCTGCCTGGGCTATATAACAAAGCCCTGTCTCCAAAATATAAAAAATAAAAGCTACCTTTGAGGCACTGACCAGGTGGAGGCAGAAACAGATGTGTGGTTTTGGTGTATCTTGTATTATTTTGATTTCTTTTTTTCTTTCTTTTTCGTTTTTATTTTTGTTCTTCAAGACAGGGTTTCTCTGTGTAGTCCTGGCTGTCCTAGAACTCACTCTGTAGACCAGGCTGGTCTCAAACTCAGAGATCCGCCTGCCTCTGTCTCCCAAGTGCTGGGATTAAAGGCCTGAGCCACCACTGCCAGGCTACTATTTTGACTTCTTTTAAAAGGTATTATGTGTGTGTACAGAGTTGAGGGCAGGACAGAGGAGCAGGGCAGGGTAACAGGCAGGTGCGAAGGACTTTTTCCATCATGGATCCAGGGATTGAACTCAGGTCACAGGCTTATTTGCCAAGAGCTTAGCCATCCCACCAGCACACAAAGGCAGGGTCCACCTTGGCCTCCAACTTGAGGTCCTCCGGCTTTCACTTCTCTAGCATATCTAACTTCATGATCCACAACCAGCCTGATGACTTTTCTAAAATTTCATTCATTTTTATTTTATGTGCTTAAATGTTTTGCCAGCATGTTATGTCTGTCTATTTTCATGCCTCATACCCTTAGAGGCTAGAAGGTGGCAATGGATTCCCTAGAACTGGAGCTACAGAACTATCTGTAGGTGTTGGGATGCAAAGCCTGACCCTCGAAGTCCATGATTTTAAGCCATTTCTCCTGCCCCCATCTTTTTTTTTTTTTTTAAATTGGAAAAAAGGTTTTTCACACAATATATTCTGAGACCCTACAGCTGGACAATGTACAGAGAACACTCAGTCATAAGTGGGGTGTCTTTATCAAACCCCTCAACACAGGGCTCAGGGAGTCCTGCATAAGAGGTGCAAAGATGTAAGAGCCAGCAGGGGTCCCAGTACTTCCCTGGGGGAAGTGGACATGAGCCCCACTCCCAACCCAGAAGCTATCTCCAATTGACAATCACTACAAAAGAAAAATTAGTTTTTCCCTTGACTTTTAAAATTTGTTATTTTTATTATTTTTAATTGTGTGTAGGTGTATAAGTGCCTATGTGGGAGTATGTATACATGCATGTAGGTACCTGAGGAGGTCAGAGGTTTTGGAGCCCCTTAAAGCTGGAGTTAGGGCTGGAGAGATGGCTCAGAGGGTAAGAGCACTGACTGATCTTCCAGAGGTCCTGAGTTTAAGTCCCAGCAACCACATGGTGGCTCACAACCATCCCTTTTGAGATCTGGTGCCCTCTTCTGGTGTGCAGATATACATGGAAGCAGAATGTTGCATACATTTAAAAAAAAAAAAAAAAAAAAAAAAAGCTGGAGTTAAAGGCAAATGACACCTAAAAAAACATGGTTGTTGGGACTCAATCTCAGGTTTTCTGGGACATCAAGTATTCTCAACCACTGCGCCATCTCTCCAGCTGCAACTTGATTTTGTAATCATTTCAATGTATATTACCCATTCATTAATAAGTAAATAGTTCAGTGGCAGGACAAATGCACACAGTTCTTTGGAAATATACCAACTATCACGAAGGCCACCTTCCTACTCTCTGAGGAGGCAAACACTGGAGATGGGTGAGCAGTTTCTGACTTGGGGTTCACTAATAACCATTCACCCCTCCACAGGTGATTCACCTTAAATGGCAGTGGCAATACCCTGCCAAGCCAGAGGGAGCAGGACTCACCCTGTGACCTCTTGACACCACCAGACAGCTGCTCCACACACATCTGATATGCCTTTAATAGCAACAGTCTACAAAGACACAGGAAGGGTTCTGGCTCCAAGACTGACAGCCACTGTTGTGGAGTCTGAACTTTATAAAACTGGAAAGAATCAACTCAAAGTCTCGAGGGAAGCCCTGTGAATTTTCTACAAGTAGCAAATGAGATGACTTTAACTCCTGTCCTGGTTTGGAAAATTGTTCTGTCTCAACTGACCAAGTGGCAAAGGACTAATTGGTATTTGCAAAATGAGGGCAATAAGGCTCATGTAGGATGATGTCCCATGAATGTCATTGTCAGTAATTTACCTTACAGCTTGCTAGGCAATCCTGAGCTTCTCAAAGAAGAACACCAATGACTCAAGAGCCTGGTCCGGCTGGTACAGGAAATGACCTATTGACCTGGCAGCTTTCACATCAAAATGCCAAGTACACAGCTCCATTGAACCTTTTCAGTAGATCCCAGGGAGAAAGAGTCGTCCCCCCGCCCCCCAACTTCTCCTATGTTAACAGCTGATCACACAAAGTATCACACTGTCCAAGCACAGTGAGAACTGATTGAGCAAATCTAGGTCAGTCACTGACAGAACATGGACCTTAGAGTTTTTAGAAGAGCAACTACCAAGCCACTGTAGGAAGAAACAGCACGTGATTACTGTACACCACAAATATCTCAGTGACCTCAGGATATCTGAACCCAACTCTAGAAAGACTCCAGAATGTTGTTACTTTTCTTGTGACCACAAATTCTCCTCTGTACCAAAGCTCTGCTGGAGGCAGGGATGGGAGAAGAACACAGGGACTTTCCCAGGGATCCATTCCTCAAGAGGATTTTTTGGCCTCGTGGTGATGCCACCTTTAAGCCCAGCACTTGGGAGGCAGAGGCAGGTGGATCTCTGTGAGTTCGAGACCAGCCTGGTCTACAAGAGCTAGTTCCAGGACAGCCTCCAAAGTCACAGAGAAACCCTGTCATAAAAAAAGAAAGAAAAAATAGAGTATTTTTTTTTGGCAGTTTTACTGCCATCAGCTGCCCCCACAAACCAGCCCTCGGACCCACTCACCTGTACTGGCTCCTCCAAGACTCCACTGCAAATAGGGCAGATAAGGTCCTCGTCAACATCCCCCTGGAAACGTGTTACATCATACCCCATGTCTCATCACTGAAACCCAGGTCCTGAAAGAAGAAACAGGAAAAAGAGGTCACTTCAGAAAAAGTCACATCCATGTGGCCACAGCTCCAGCTTACTGCCAAAATCCATCCATTTGTCCAACAGACATTCACTGAGAATCTAGTACCTGCCAGTTATGAGGAATACATCCAGATGGGAGCAGGTATTACATAAGCACACATATAAACCACAATGCAATGGAAGCCTCATCTTACACGGACAGCACTCCTAACCCGGCTGGAGGGAGGGTCTGAGATGTTTTCCACAGGTGTGTCCTCAGGGCAGTAAGCTAGCTGTGTGGAGGACTGGGATAGTAGCGCATTAGGCCCAGATGGGCTCAGAAAATGGCTGGCCTGAGGGGTACAAAGAACTGTCAAGACACAAGTCTGAACAGGCAAGCAAGGGCCAGGCCACCAGGAATCCTATGTGGAAATCTGGGTTTTGTCACAAAGGCCATGAGATGTCACTGAAAGGTTTAACAGTGAGCTGATGACATTTCTCTTTTAAAAACCACTGTGTTGCTGGGGTAGAGCTCAGGGGTAGAGTGCTTGCCTACTGTGCAGAGTTCCTGAGTTCAGCGATGCACACTTTTAACCTCATCACTGGGGAGGCAGAGGCAGAGGCAGGCAGATCTCTGAGAGTTTGAAGCCAGTCTGCTCTACAAACCGAGTTCTAGGACAGTCAGGGCACATAGACCTTGTCTGGAAAAAACCAAAACCAAACCCCCCCCCTGTGTCAACAAGGGAGAAACTGGAGACAAGAAAAGAAACTGTAGGCAGATAGTGAAGAGTCTGAACTGAGGGCCTGCGATGGGGAGACAGAGGCAGGAGAACAAGGACAGAGAACAGCAATGCTGCCACACCCGGCCTGTGAGCTTCCCAAGGGCAAACCCAAAGTCAATGAACAATGTCTATGGCCTCTCTGGATCCATCCAGCCGGTGGGCTAACAGGATCAAGAGTACTTGGATCCTGGAACAGCTGAACCATCAACCTGTGATATTCCCAAAGAGAGAAGTCAGTTCTCAGGAACATAGAAATCAGACCATCCAATTTTATTCTTCTTATCTATATTATTGTGTGTAGGATGGGGCATACATGCACAGTACATACATGGAGGTCTGCAGTGGCTTGAATAAGCCATGTGCCCCATGGGTTGCCAGCTGGTGGTGCTCTGAGGACAGCCCCACCCATACTCATTTCCCATTGTCTTGTCGCCCCCCCCATTTCTTTTCTTCCCTCTCCCTCTGTGTGTCTGTCTGTCTGCCTCCTCTCTTCCCCTGTCTGTCTGTGTGTGTGTGTGTGTGTGTGTGTGTGTGTGTGTGTGTGTGTGTCTGTCTGTCTGTCTCCCTACCCACCCTCCTCACCCTGTTTTCTCTCTGAGGATAAAAGATGTACCAGCCAGCTGCCTGCTCCTATTCCTGCTGATAGGCCAAAGGCCTTCCCTACCACTATGGACTCTAGTTCTCTGGAACCTTAAGCCCAAAACAATCCCTTCCTTAAGTTGTTCTCAGTCATGGTGTTTCATCAAAGCAACAAAAATAACCAGACAGTTCTATTTTGGTAATTTACACCTTCCTAAATTTTTTAAAAGTCCCTCCCCCAAAACAAGGATTCTCTGTATAGCTTTGGAGCCTATCCTGGCACTTGCTTTGTAGACCAGGCTGGCTTCCAACTCACAGAGATCCACCTGCCTCTTCCTCCCGAATGCTGGGATTAAAGGTGTGCACCACCAACTCCCGGCTTTAAAAAGTTTGTACAGACGCAAAATAACATCTTAGCATTACCTAGGATGCCTGTAAGGGAAGAATGAGTTAAGCACAGTGTGTTGCAAGGCATTGCACTACAGGAGAGATCCTGTCTCAGAAAATAAATAACACCTTTAATTCCAGCACTTGGGAGGCAGAAGCAGGCAGATCCTGGCAAGGTGGCACTAGCCTGTTCCACAAAGTTCCAACTTATAAACTGCAGAATGAGACTCTATCTCAAAAACAAAACAAATCAAGAGCGCTACAAGCTCAGTGAGAGATCCTGTCTCAGAAAATAAGGGATCTTTGTGAGTTTGAGGCCAGCCCTCTTGCTGTGTTTTTAAGATAGGGTCTCTGGGGGCTAGAGATGGCTCAGAGGTTAAGAGCATTGACTGTTCTTCCAGAGGTCCTGAGTTCAATTCCCAGCAACCACATGATGGCTCACAACCATCCCTAATGAGATCTGGTGCCCTCTTCGGGCCTGCAGGGATACATGCAGACAGAACACTGTATACATAATAAATAAATAAATCTTAAAAAAAAAAAAAAATGGCCCTCAATTTCTTTCACATAAACTAAGGTTATCTGGGGCAAAATGCCAAGGAAGTGATGTATGAAATCAGTGAATCAGACCAAGGACAGAGTGCTGATCTGGATGGGCAGCTGTGACACTACCCAGACCCTTGGCTCAAATCTAGCTGCTAAATTTCTCTACTGCAAAGTTACTACTTCTTCCTTGGTAATGAATGACCCCACAAAGATACTTTTTTGTTTTGTTTTATGTGGAACTCACTAAGTAAATCAGGCTGACCTAGAAATCACAGAGCTTCTCCTGGGATTAAAGGCCACCACTTGAGATGGCTCAGTAGTTAAGAGAGAGCACTTGCTGCTTTTGCAGAGGACCCAAGTTCTATTCCCAGGACCCACACCGTAGCTAACAACCACTTGTAACTCCAGTTCTCTTCTGACTTTCACTGGCATGCACACTGGACAGTAAAAAAGTCCCCACACACAAAATTACATAAATCTTTAATATGTGTCATATATACACACAATAGTAATTTTAAATGTTAAAAAACTTTACTTACATTTTTTCTCTCCTATCTTTCCTACAATGATCACGGCTTGGGATTTTTTTTTTGTTGTTTTTGTTGGTTTTTTGGGGGGAGGGTCTCAGAGATCAAACACCAAAGATGTTTTATTTACACTGATGAAGCCAACATTTATTGAACTTTACTGTGTGCTTGTCACGATTTTAAGCACTTTTAGCCTATTAACTAATCCTAGAACAACTCTATGAGGTGAACACTATCATTATTCAAGTTTTAATGATGAGTAATAGAGGCACAGAACTTAAAAAGCTTGTCCAGAATCATACAACAAACAGTGGCCAAACCAGATTCAGTGAAGCCCAGGCAGACTGGCTCCAGAGCCCAACCTTTTAACCACAATGCTTCACAGTATGAAAAAGACGAGTTAAAAACAGTGTGCATCGAAGGTCAATCTTTATAAAAAACACCTTTAAGTCACATGTTCAGGGCTGGTGAGAGGGCTCAGGGAATAAAGGTGTCCGATGCTAAACCTCAAGACCTGAGTTGGATCCTTGGAACCAACACTGTGAAGAGAGAAACCCGATTCCTACTTCACTCATGTACCATGACATGTGAGTACATATGCATATCACACACACACACTTTTTTAATGTAATAAGAAACCAACATAGGTTTATTTTGTTTGTTTATTTTTCTAGACATGGTTTCTCTGTAGATTTGGAGCCTGACCTGGCACTCATTCTGTAGACCAGTCTGGCCTTGAACTCACAGAGATTCACCTTCCTCCAATACAGTCTTAAAAGAAATCTAGATGTTGGAATTATGTTTTAGCTCAAGTGTTACATATTTGCAAGATTGACTTATTTACTTAATGATTGTCCTTTTATGTCTTGTTCTTTCCCCCATGTGTATATGTATTTGTGTGTCTATGTGTTTTTGCCTGTGTGCAGAGGACGCTCCAGATTGACATCAAGAATCCTCCTTGGCCAAAGCCCAGTTCTCACAATCATTGCCTGTGCATCAAGTGGTTTAAACATGGAGGTCTCCCTCCCTCTGCCCTTTTTCTCATTCTTAAGTGGCAACACAGATAATGGCTCATGTCTCTAATACTAACACTTGAGAGGTAGAGGTAACAGGATTCTAATTTTAGCTAACTTAGGCCAAATAACAAACTCCAAGACTGCTAGACTACATATTAAGAGTTCCCCCCAGCCCCCATGGTGGCTCACATTTAATCCCAGCACTCGGGAGGCAGAGGCAGGCGGATCTCTGTGAGTTTGAGGCCAGCCTGGTCTCTAGAGCGAGTGCCAGGATAGGCTCCAAAGCTACACAGAGAAACCCTCTCTCGAAACCCCCCCCAATCCCCCAAAAATACCAATCACATGAGATTCCAATGCCCCCTAAAATAAATAGCATGGGACACCCTGTCTATACACAGATGGCCAAGGAAAACAGAAAGCTTCTAATAGCTAAGGATTCGGCAGTCCCCTCATGTTCCCTACCTATAAAGGCAGAATTATAACACCCTGTGGAGATGCTAGTGTAGGGTTTGGAATGTAGCTCAGTGGTAAAGCGCTTGTTTGGCATGCTCAAGGTCTCAGGTCTAAAACGGAGCAGCAAAGTCAGTTATGTCTGTGCTGTGCACAATCTAATCCCAGCACTCAGAGGCAGAGGAAGGTGGATCTTCTGTGAGTTTGAGGCCAGTTTGGTCTACATAAGGAGTTCCAGGACAGCCAGGGCTACATGATAGAAAGGCCCTATCTCAACACACACACACACACACACACACAATCTCAAAACACACATACAAACCTGGCAGCAGCACAGGCATCTTTTTTTTAAAGATGTGCTGGCTAGTTTTATGTCAACTTGACACAAGCTACTTTCATCAGAGAGGAGGGGCCTCTACTGAGAAAATGCCTCCATAAAAGATGGGACTGAAGGCAAGCCTGTAAGGCATTTTCTTAATTAGTGACTGATGTGGGGAGGCCAGCTGTGGACTTGTGGTCCTGGGATCTTCAAGAAAGCAGGCTGAACAAGCCATGATGAGCAAGCCAGTAAGCAGCTCCTGCCTTCATGATCCTGCCCTGACTTCCTCAAGTGATGAACAGTCCAACTTGCTTTTGGTCATGGTGTTTCATCACAGCAATAGTAATCCTATCCAAGAAACAGGTACCAGGATTATGGGGTATATGTTTTTGAGAGGATTGAGGAATGACTTTGGGACTTTGGGCTAGAAAAGCCATCAAGTGTTCAAAGCTTGTTGTTGATCTCTTCCGTGGGGAGCTTGGATGACAAGAGCACTAAGAGAAATGCAGACTATAGGCCTGGCTTATGAATTTGCAGAGGGAAGTTTGAGAGTCACTTAAAGACTCTATAGGGCTGGGTGCAAATTTTGAGTTAAGAATCTGTGTTTCTGCGCCTTTAATCCCAGCACTCAAGAGGCAGAGGCAGGCGGATCTCTGTGAGTTCGAGGCTAGCCTGGTCTCCAGAGGGAGTGCCAGGATAGGCTTCAAAGCTACACAGAGAAACCCTGTCTCAAAAAAACCAAAAACCAAAACAAAACAAAAAAAGATGTGCCACCATGCCCAGCTATTTAGAGATTCTTAATCTATTTGCACAGACATGTAAGGCATGCACATTTTTCACACATACATGACCACATGCTAAAACAAGCATTAGAGCAACCACTTTTAACTCATGATTTATCTTTTAAGGTAAACGGGCACACTGTCACCATTCTTAACAAACGGATGAGGACAAGTCAGAGGTACATGATGTGGTCTCTTCTCCACACCCTCAATACAGCCTAGTCTCAATGACCACAAAAAGACCAGACACACAGGCAAACAGCTCCAAAACTTGACCCAGCCTAAGGAAACAGACAAGTCTTAGGAAATTTAACTATGTAAGAAACTAGCTGGTAAAAGACCTGACAGGTGTCCCTAGAACACCGTCACCGTATCTCCCTGTATCCTAAAGAATAGATCTAGAAAGAAGTGACATTCCCTTGCATTAATCCTTATACACAAAAGTAACTTGAAATAACCTAATGTGAACTAATTAGTTTAAAATAACCAGTCTATTTCATTTGTTTGTTTTCTCCAGCTTCTCAAAGTCAAACTCTTGTGCTCACCCACCAGAACACTTATTTTATGGAATGAAGAAGCCCGGATTCAAGAATAGAAGATAAAGCAGCTCAGGGCTGGAGATGTAGTCCAGTGATAGACTCTTTGCCTAGCTCACTCAAGGGTTCATCTCCATTACTGTGTTTAAAATGGGGCTGGTGAGGTGGCTCAGCAGCTGAAAGGTGCTTGCTATATGTTCAATCCCCGCAACCCACATAAAGGTGGAAAGAAAAGCGATGCCACCAAGTTGTCCTTTGACCTCCACATGTGTGCCAAAGAACAGCCCACCCAACTCATCGTGCACAGACAGCTTAATAATAAAATAAAACAATAACCAATTCTGCCAGGTAGTGGTGGCACACATCTTTAATCCCATCACTCGAGAGGCAGAGGCATGTGTGTATCTCTGTGAGTTTGAGGCCAGCCTGGTCTACAGAGTGAGCTCCAGGACAGTCAGGGCTACACAGAGAACCTTGTTTTGAAAACAAAAACAACCAGTTCTGAATAGGAACCTTAGCTCTAAAGCTATCCCTGACCAAAAGTGTTGTCCTGGGCTTCGGTTTTCTTACACTGTGTGACAGAAACACCTTGGTTATGTAATTTCCAAAGAGCTCTATGATTTCTATGATTGAGAATACAAAATGTAAAACAAAAATGGATATTAACTGGCATTTATATTACAAAAAGTACTTAGCTTTCCCATCAACTAACCTTCCCTCCTCAGCAACGCTCTTGGAAGGAAGGGGCTTCCTATTTTAGCAGGAGAAACTGTATACTGAAACTCTCTGCCGAACTCAAGTCTCCCCCTTGTGAGATGGGGAGCAGGGCTACCTGGCTTCTAAGCTCTATTCAATCCTAGGATGCTAGGACTGCCATTTACCGGAGGATATTTGACTAAGTGGGTTTTTGATTTGGAGATAGGGTTTCACTATGTAGGCCTGGCTTTCCTGGATTTCCTGGACCTCTCTGTGTAGACCAGGCTGGCCTTAAATTCACAGCAATCCATCTGCCTCTGCTTCCTGAGTGCTGGAATTAAAGGTGTGCGCCAGCCATTACACCTGGCTCAGAGGATTTTTAAGTTTGAGTTTCTTTGGCACATTTAATTTGAAATTCTTTTTTTTTTCTCTCTCTCTGTTGTTTAATACAGTGTATGGGCACATGTGTGCAGTGTCACTCCTGTGATCTAACCCCAGTGTGTCTCTAACCCGCGGGGCTTGTTTACAGGTTTTTTTTTTTTTTTTTTTTTTTTTTTTAAGATTTATTTATTTATTATGTATACAGTTTTCTGTCTGCATGTATCCCTGCAAGCCAGTAGAGGACACCAGATCTCATTACAGATGGTTGTGAGCCACCATGTGGTTGCTGGGAATTGAACTCAGGACCTCTGGAAGAGCAGTCAATGCTCTTAACCTCTGAGCCACCTCTCCAGCCCTGTTTACAGGTTTTTTTACAAGGCTGATGGGGATTTGAACTTGGGCCCTTTGCTTTTATAGCAAGAGCTCTTAATGAACTAAACCATCTTTTCAGCCTTAAATTGAATTTTTTTTAATTTTAATTTTTTTGTTTGTTTGTTTTTAGGCTTGTTTTAGCTCTTTTAATTTAAATTAACCCATTTCTGTTAATCTATGTGCTGCCCCAAGGCTCATTTACTCATCTACATACTTCCCATTCTGCCTGCTCTTCTTCCTCTCATGACTACATGACCCTGTGTAGGGCTACACAGGGTTTCTCTGTGTAGCCCTAGCTGTCCTGGAACTCTGTCTGTAGACCAGGTTGTCCTTGAACTCCTAGAGATCCACTTGCCTTTGCCTCCCTGGTGCTGGGCTCACCACCATTGCCTAATTGAGGGCCTATATTCTTTAAGAACTCATCAAATACCTAATTTAAGGCCTGATAGGCTTCAAAAGACAGCAGGGACTCCAGCTGTGCACCAGCACACGGCACTATTTGTGTGGTTAATCCACATCTTTTCATACTAACCATACACATTTCTTGCCGAAAGAAAAGACAGACAACCACTGTCTTCAAACTAAGCACAGGTATAACTCAGTGAGTGTACAAAATGAACAAATGTACCAACAAGATAAAACTGACTATCAACAAAATTAGACACATAAATAGGAGAGCATGCATTAACTGTAAAAAGCTCCAGGTAACCAGGCTGCCAAGGTCGGTAGGAACCTTTACCAGAAAGGAGAGGCAAGTCTGAAATGAGGTTCCAAATCAAGGTTGTTTACCTTCTAGGTGTGGGGGGCAGGTTCCCTGTTTACAAGGTTCCAACCCCCTGATGCCTCCACTCAGTGCCACTCAGGAGATGCTCCAAGTATCCCATCTTGTTGGCTATTGTCTGACTACTGCGTCTTTCTTCCTAGTAACAAGTTTCATGGCCAAGGTGTGGGTATGACGTCACAATCAGGAGCACTCTATTAATAGGAACATGGAAGAAAACATGTTAGTCAGCGGAACTACCTCCATTAAACAGTGAAGCAGAGGGAAGACTTGGATCTGGTGGGTGGGGCGCCCAGGTAGGGGATGAGAAACTCCTTTCAGGACTGCAGGTTTCTGTGTGTTTTGTCTAGTAGAGTCAAGCACAGAGGGACGGAGGGAGAGAGAAAGCAGCGGCTGGGCGGTGGTGGCGAACACCTTTATCCCAGCACCACATAAGGGGGCAGTGATTCAGGCCTATCATCTTAGTGCCCTGGAGGCAGATACAAGAAGACCAAAGTTCAAAAGGGTACATGGGACCCTTTCTTAAAATGCACACACACACATACATATATGTGGAATATTCTTTTACACTGTGCGAATAAATGCCACTGTAATTGAGTTAACAAAAAAGCTGATTGGCTGATGGCTAGTTAGGATTTTCGGGGCAGAGAAGATGCTGGGAAGAAGGATAAAGTCTGAGGAGACACCAGAAGTCATGAGAGGAAGAAGAGCAAGCAGAATGGGAAGCATGTAGATGAGTAAATGAGCCTTGGGGCAGCACATAGATTAACAGAAATGGGTTAATTTAAATTAAAAGAGCTAAAACAAGCCTAAGCCACGGCAGAGCATTTATAATTAATATAAGTCTCTGTGTGCTTATTTGGGAACTGGCTTGCAGGAAAGAAAAGTCCACCTACACGTATAGACACACATTAATTTTACAAAATTATTTTTATCTCATTTCTTATATATGGGTGTACTGCCTGCATATATGTCTGTGTACCACACCTGTGCCTGGTGCCTGAAGTTGATCCCCTGGTACTGGAGTTATAGACAGTTGTGAGCTGCCATTTGGGTGTTTGGACCTGAACCCTGGTTCTCTAAAAAGAGTAACCAGTGCTCTTAACCATGGAGTCATCTCTCCAGCCCCTGTGTATATACTTCTTTATTCAGCACATATAACAAGTAATGTCAAAAACTCCAAATTGGTGGCTATACAATATGTGAATCTATATTTCCCCTATACTAGCCTTTAATGTTTCCAAAGGGCTTTCACTTACATTATTTCCAGTCAAAATAATTCTGGAGGCCATGGATGGTGGTAGGCTCATGCCTGTAATCCCTACACTCAGTAAGCAAAATAGGAGAACTCTTGAGTTCGAGGCCAGCTCTGGCTATATAGCAAGTTTTAAACCAACCTAGGCTACATGGCCAAACCTTGTCTCAAACAAAAACAAAAAAATCTGGGCTGTAGATGCTGCTCAATAGTAGAGATTTACAATACCCAGCATTTACAGGTCACAGGGACCCAATCCTTAGTACCACAGGAAAACAAAAACAAGAAACCTGAGTTGGACATGATGGTGCATGCCTGTAATGCCAAGACTTGAAAAACTCAGAAGACAGTGAGTTTCAAGCCAGCTGGACTACACAGAGACCCTCCTGTCTCAATAAATCAAGAAGTCTATTTCTAAATTGTGTTCAGACCCAGTCTGAAATAATACTTAAAATCAGGCAAACAGTGGGAAAACTGATGGACACCTGCAATACTAGCACCTGGGATTGAAGGAAGGAGGATCAGGAATTCAAGGCTAGCCTGGCCTATATGAGACCCTGTCTCAAAAAAATTAAAAAGTTCGGGCCGGACACTGGTGGCGCATGCCTTTAATCCCAGCACTCGGGAGGCAGAGGCAGGTGGATCTCTGTGAGTTTGAGGCCAGCCTGGTCTCCATATGGAGTGTCAGGATAAGCTCCAGAGAAACCCTGTCTCGAAAAACCAAAACAAACAAAAAACACTGTATAAGCTGGACAGTGGTAGCGCACGCCTTTAATCCCAGCACTCGGGAGACAGAGGCAGGCGGATCTCTGTGAGTTCAAGACCAGCCTCGTCTACAGAGTTCCAGGAGAGCCAGGGCTACACAGAGAAACCCTTTCTTGAAAAACAAAAAAAACAAAACAAAACAAAAAAATCCAGGTACTGCCTTCCACGTGGAAAACATTACTTTACACATAGACACCCAAGAATGCTGCTATAGGTGCAAAATGAGAAATACTCTGGAAGGAAATCGGGCTTTGAAAAAGGAGGGAAGAGGAGTGGGGCCTGAGGCAACGGGTGATACAAAAAAACAAGGTCAGGCATGGTGGAGTCTGTAATCCCAACACCTGGGAGGCTGAGACAGGAGGATCACTGCAAATTCAAGGTCAGCAGGGACTACAGGATGAGACCCTTCCTCAAATCATTGGTAAGGAGGGAAAAGTAGAGATGTTGCTCCAGGGTGGGCAACTTGTTCAGATATAGCAGTTAAACTGGGCTGACTAGATGCATGCCTACCGAGATAGAACCAAGTCCAAGTTTCCAGTGCCCTGAGAATTTGATTCAAAGAGGTACAGGAATGTTAACCAAACTCCTACTAATCAAACTCCTGTATCATATATATATATTTTTTTTTTTCAAGGGCTATGTTGGGATAAAATAATGGTGATTTTTACAAAGAATACAAATTCTCCAGAATATGGTACTTTGTTCATTAGTTCACCGTGCTCATCATCAACTACATGTTCACATGTCCTCTCAGAAGGAGAGATGATGTAAAACCTGGCACTTTCCCTTCTTCACAGTCCAGAAGAGGAGTGGTGGAGTTGATGTTCTTCTCCTCCCCATTTCCCAACAAGCTGGCACACACCTGTATCTCAAAAAATGCTTCCAGGAAGAGGTTCTATAGGCAATGCTCGGTCTCCTAGGGTCAAGACCCAGACCCAGAAATCAAAAAGCTTCCCGTGATGGGCAAATTAATAGGGGTTAATCTAAAAAAATAGATAAAGGGTTATTGACCAAGCAAAGAAGCAGGAGAGAGAGAGAGGTGTCTTGGGTTATTCCAGTCCTAGCTCTGCCACCCACCAACTTCAAATAAGGCATTGCAACCAGTTTCTCCAACTGTCAAACAGACGATGACATTTGCCCTATCTTACATACAGCAAATCAAACGACAAAATAAATAGGAAAGGAGATTCCAGACTGCTATTAGTTGTAGCAACAGAATGGCACAATAAATTCACAATGAGGACCAGAGGAAATGTTTGGAATTGCTTGTTCCCCCTTTTCAACTACTGGGAAGCAGGCCCTGTCACAGGGTCTACTGGTGACAGAGTATCAACATTAATGTACCCCTCTCCTTCCCTTACCACTATCCAATCCCATTCCTTCTTAGGGAAATACTAGCAGCCAGCAACACTGTAATTAGCTAACACTATTGTATAAGAAGTACCTGCCAAGATTCTCACAGGTCAGTCTCTGAGAACAGTGGCCTTGGTAACCGCCACAATTGCTACCAGTTGAGATGAAGCTAGTTTTTTAAAGGAAAAGTGTGTGCCGATCCCAAACATGCTCAATCCTGCTCGCTTTCGGCTCTCTCCTGTTCCTACTCTCTACCCACCAACTGTTCTGCCTCCTTGGGCTGGGGTGGGCTTCGTATAAAGCGAGTGGATGGATCGTGCGTGCGAGGGAGCGGGGCTGCAAATCATCCAGGGGCAAGGATGTCAGGAATGTAAGAGTCCTCCACGGAGGGGTGGGAGGGGAGAGGAGCGGCGAAGGAATAAAAGAGAAAGACAAGGCTGCCAAAGACAAGGCATGGGAAAGAAGCCAAGCTATGGCGCTTGGAGGGCGGAGGTTTGGGTTCCGTGGCTCCTGCCAAGGCTGGCCCCCAGAACGTTCCCCTCCTCGCCTCCAGGCCCGTCAATCATTGCCATTTAAACTCCACGTTGTCCCCTAGGCCGAGCCGTCTGCTCCTCCCCGGTCCTCGGGCCAGCCCAAGGCCACTCCCGCACTTCCCAAGGCTTCCCTGCTCCAGAGGACCTTCCCAAGCTCCTGAGCCCCCAGCTCGCCTCCCGACTCCTCCCAGCAGAGCTCCCTTCCTCCATCCTCCTCCCCCCCTCCACCCTTCCTCTCGACCCCCAGCACCTCCGACCCAGGCGCCTACCCACCGGGACCTCGCCCCCTCCGCTCCGCTCCGCTTCGCTCCCCTCCCCTCCCGGGTGAGAAGCTCGTTCAGGAGCGTTACGCACCGCCCTGGACACTGAGTGGGTTCTCCGGACGCGGGGCCGGGCTGCAGCTGAGGCCACGGCGGCCGCGGAGTGGCCTGGGTGCCGGCTCTCAGCCTCTCCCCGTAGGGGAAGGGGAAGGGGAAGGAAAGGATGGGGAAGAAGGTTCCAACCACTCCTGCTCGTCTCGGACTGACCCTTTTGCCACGCCCACCGCTGCTACGCAACGGGGCGGAAGTCCGTCACCAAACCCCGCCCCTTTGTTTAACTCGGCGGCGACGACCGGACGCTCCAAGCGAGCGGCCCCGGTTCGCTAGACCTCCGCTCTTGCCCGGAAGTTGTTAGAAACGGACCCCCGGCGGGATTTGATAGCCATTTGGGAGGGAGGACTCTATGCTCTCCAGGTGTAACGATCTGGGGCGACCGTGGATGTACTGCCCGGCCATGTCACTTCGTGTGCGATAACGCAGGTCTCGGGCGGGCGCTGCAGCTGATGCAACGTCGGGGCGAGATGGCCTCGGGACAACCGGTCTGCTACTGCTGCTGCTGCTGCTGCTGCAGCGTAACCTGCTGCTGTCCTCCCTGCCCCTCAGTTTCCAGAGCTGCTGTGGTCAGCATCGCGGAGCCTCCCGGCCTCGTGTCATGGGAAGGGACACAGCGGTTAACTCGGAAGGCTGCGGGGTGGGGAGGGGGGGAGGGAGGGAGGCAGGGAGGCAGGGTCACACCGCAAAGCTCTGACCCAGGGTGTTGTAAGGGTCGCCCGCCTCCCGGCCACATTCGATGGCTCTTGAGAAACTCAATCGTGCCCTGAAACACTGTGAAGGGTTTGGTTTCCTGAGGTTGCAGCTGCGCGATTGGGGGGTGTGGGTGGGAGAGAACCTGGACTTGGAAGTCACCGTGGAGCTTAAAGCGCTCTGCTATATAGGTAAGGGATCGAGCAAGGCAAGAAACGAGATTACATTTACCCCTTAGGCTAACCTGGTGCCAAACAGTATTTGTTATGTTGTCTTTTTAAAAAATTCACATTAGTGCATTTGTAACTCGTTTGTTTGTAAGAGGTAGTTGCCTTTGAGGACTGACAAGTACCCCGAGGGCACTAAAGGTGCTGGGTGTTTTAAGATCCAGTGAGAAAAGAAAATAGGAACCGGACATGCCCTGCGAAAAGACTTGCTTTTTATGTCCCGGATTCCATTTCTTCCAAAGGAGGCTGAATCTGCCTAATGTCTTTTCTAAAGCATAAATGCCACTTGATCCAGAGGCCTGGGCAGAACTGTTCAGTGTATTAAAGATGAAGGCCCCTATGTCTAAGTTAATGCCATATCCTAGGCATCGCTTTTTACCTAACTCTACATTTTCATGTATAAAACGGAATTTATATGTTTAAGAATAGCCGAGCAAAGAAGCGAAGAGAGGGGCTGGCATTCAAACTTCTGCCCGCTGCATTCCTAAGCCCTTGGACCTTTTTCCATTGTGCCACTACTTGAAAAGGAAAAAAAAAAAAAAAAAAAAACCCACAATCTTGCGAGCCTGGAGCGCCTTTTTCTGAGCCGAACTGAGGCGCCCCCTGGCGGTCGGTCCATCTTCTCCCGCGCGGAACTCATCTTCGTCGAGGCTCCTTTAATTCCTAAAACCTCCCCGTTCGTGGCGCGTGAATACCGGCGCCTGATTGGGTGGGCGGCGGCTGGAGGCGGGGTTTTTGGAGGGCAGATCAGCTCCCATTGGCTAGGGAAGGTCAGGGGACACTTCCGGGAATGTGTGCGCTCCCGCGTTCCACTCCGCAGCATCCGGCGGCAGCCAGCCCCCTGGCTCCCCCTGCGGGTGGCTTGGCGGTGTGCACAGTCCCGCCTGCTGGCTGGGTGGGTGGTGGGCTGTGAATGGGGGAGGGGACCGGGCGAGCTCTGGGTGTGGGGATGAGGGTGCAGGAAGATCCGCCGAGTAGGATTCTCTCCCCTGGCGCTGCTCCGGGTTCCCTAAGAGTCTCCTTGAGCCTCCCTGCTTCGGAGCGTGAGACCGAGAGCATCCTGACCGAGGGGCCTCGCAGCCCCTCAGCATCTTATCCAGAGATCTCTAAATTCTGATCGTGAAGTACGAGGCCCCCAGGGAAGTTCGTTTCTAACCTCCTAGAAGGGTTAGAGAGGGACCAAGGCTGCCGGATCCCCCCCCCCGCCGCCGCCTGGTGTGGTGGGTAGGCCAAGCGGGGAGCATGGGGGCAGAGGCTCCAAGGCTTGAGCCTTCATCTCCGGTTTCCACTTCCAGCGGGGTGCCACGGTTCGGGAAGCATGACGACCGAGACCTTCGTGAAGGATATCAAGCCCGGGCTCAAGAATCTGAACCTTATCTTCATTGTGCTGGAGACAGGTGACTATGCATGCGCAGTGGGCTCGTGGGAGCAAAGGGGGAGGAGCATGGAGAGTGGGGGCACACGGGACCACCGCCTGAGTCCTTCACTTGCTGCCTGGACTGGGAGGAGGCTCCTCAAAGCCCTCCTCCAGTCCCTCTCAGACCGGCTGGCACGGGGAGCTGCCGGTGGGTAGAGTGGATAGAACTCTAGATAGCCTATAATGCCTCACTAGCCACGCGGGCCTTTTTCCACTCAGGGCTCTCTCCATGGTGCTGGACTCTCCACTGCCACCCCACACACACCCACGCGTAACCTCCTGCCCCCACGGAGGAATATGAGCTTTGTTCAGCTTCTACCCTTTAACCTCACTCAGCCAATGCCCAGACTTTCACTACCACCACCCCACCTGTATGACTTTAATTCCACCCCCATGTACTTCTTCCCTTAAAAGGCCGAGTGACAAAGACAAAGGACGGGCACGAGGTTCGGACCTGTAAAGTAGCAGACAAAACGGGCAGCATCAATATCTCAGTGTGGGACGACGTGGGCAACCTTATCCAGCCTGGGGACATTATCCGACTCACCAAAGGGTAAGTCAGGGCTCCTAGCAGCAACAGCTGTGGGGTTAAAAAGTCCCTACAGCTTTTCCTAAAGACTGAACCCTGCTCACCCTCACTCCACCCCACAGGTATGCCTCAGTGTTCAAAGGTTGTCTGACACTATACACTGGCCGTGGGGGTGACCTACAGAAGATTGGAGAGTAAGTTCAATCTTGGGAATCTGGAAAATAAGCCCCAGCCCCCCAAATGTGGGAAAGTTAGGGTTTACCAGAAGGCAACACAAACAAACCTGTGCAGTCCCACACCCCATGACTGGATCTGTCTGTGACCCAAAAGATGGGTCCAAGGCTTTGGCTTCTTTCTTTGCAGATTCTGCATGGTTTATTCTGAAGTTCCTAATTTCAGCGAGCCCAATCCAGAGTATAACACTCAGCAGGCACCCAACAAATCGGTGAGTCCCTGGGTCTGCAGCAAATAGGCAGAGGAGGCCAAAGCCGCATGGTGTTGAGGAGGGTCTGAGTGTGTAATCTGTACCTTCAGGTGCAGAGTGACAGCAGCCCTGCCACCCCTCAAGCCACCACAGGACCTCCTGCTGCCTCTCCAGGTAAATGAGTCCCTTTCTTTCCTTCCACTGGCCCCTTTAAATCCCATTCTCCCCAGCCAGGAAAGATGTCTTTCCCTTGTACCTTTCCCAAGTGTCTCTTCTCTCGAGATGTTTCCCCGATATCCAATTCTCCCTGTACCTTCATTATTTGTATACCTTCTTCGAGTCTCAGTAGTGGAAACCTGGAGTCCTCTTTCCTTTTGTTACCACCAGTTCAAAAAACAAAAATAACCGTTAGGAACAAACAGGCTTAGATGTAGCATATTTAAAATATTCTTGTAAATTCCTTGTAACAAGTCCATATGTACACACTCTCATATATATGTAAATATATGCAGTCATTATAAACCACTAAGTAATGGGAATATATTCTGAGAAATGGGTATACACACACACTTAGATTGTGTGGTCTACTTCATCCCTAAACTATGCAGCATAACCTATGTTTTTCTTTTTAATTTCTTGTCTTTTTCCTTCCTTTTTTTCTTTCTTTTACTACAGGGTCTCACTATGTAATTCAGGCTGGCCTCAAACTCGCAGATTCCCCCTGCTTAGGCCTCAGTAGTTCTGGGAATAAAGGCATAGGCTACAATTTAAAAAAAAAAAAAATCATTATATTGTTTTCATGCCCATAATCCCAGCACTGGGGAGGAGATGAGGCAAAAGAATTGTCACAAGTTCCTATCTAGTCTAGGGTTTAAAGTTAGACCTGTCCCAAACCAACAATAAGTACAATAAACACCAAATTTTGATTTCCTTTTTCAAGTAGAAGAACTATATTCAGAATAATAAAGCAAATACAATATAGCAGGGTATGGTGGTATACATCCCAGCACTCGGGAGGCAGAGGCAGGAGAATCACTGTAAGTTTGGGGCCAGCCTGCTCTACATAGCAAATTCCAGGCCAAATACACAGCAAGCCCTTGTCTCAAAAAAGCAAAAAGCCAGGCTGTGATGGAGAACGCCTTTAATCCCAGCACTTGGGAGGCAGAGACAGGCAGGTCTCTCTGAGTTCCAAGTCAGCTTGGTCTACAAGAGTGAGTTCCAGGACAGCCAAAGCTACATATAGAAACTCTTCAAAAACCAACCAACCAAACAAACAAAACAAAAACAAAAAGAAAGAATTGTAAATACTTACGCAAGTAACATGATCACTCCATTGACTATAAAGTGATACACTGTACATAATTGTGTGCTATGCCTTTCTAAGGCCCACAACTCTGCAGGCTGGTTACACCAGCGTCACAACAAACTCATTAGTGTTTCATTATGCTGCAATTGCTATGGCTGCAGTATCACTAGGCAATGGGAAGTTTTTGATTTGTTGTAGACAGTCTGGTCTACAGAACTAGTTTCAGGACAGCCTGAACTACACAGAGAAATCCTGTTTCAAAAAAGAAAAAAGAAAAAAATGATATTTTTATCTATTTTTACTTTATATGTATGTTTTGCCTACATGTATATCTATCTATATCACATGCATGCAGTACCCACCGAGGCCAGATGAGAGCAACGGATCCTCTGGAACTGGAGTTATAGATGGTTGGTAGCTGAAGTGTGGGTGCTAGGAGCCAAACCTGGGTCAGCTGGAAGAGACGCCAGTGCTTTTAAACACTGAGCTGTGACCTAAGCCCTATGTGGTAGTCTCCTTGCTCTATCCATTGCTGGCTGAGACCAATGGTCACATATCCACAGTTACAATGAGAATGGCCAGAAGGTGGTGGCGCACGCCTTTAATCCCAGCACTACGGAGGCAAAGGCAGGCAGATCTCTGTGAATTCGAGACCACCCTAGTCTACAAGAGCTAGTTCCAGGACAGCCTCCAAAGCCACAGAGAAACCCTGTCTTAAAAAAAAAAAAAAAAAAAAAAAAAAAAAAAAAAAAAAAACCTATGAGAATGGATTTATGCGTTCATGCTCTGCCTCAGCTTTTTTTCTCCATTCTCAGAATGGGCCATGCAAGCCCAGCAGAGCAATGCACACCTTTAATTCCATTTCTTGGTAGTCATCGACAGGAGGATCTCTGAGTTCAAGGCCAGCCTGGCCTACTTAGTGAGTTCCAGGATAGTCAGGATTATATAGATAGACTCTGTCTCAAAACAAAACAAAAAATACCAGAATGAGCCACCCACAGTGGGCTGGGTCTTCCCACATAATTACAGTTCCTGGAAGATAGGCCAAGAGGCCAGCCAATGTAGACAATCCGTCATATGATATATGATTGTATATTGTCACCTCCTGATTCTGGTTTTGCAGAGAACCTCCAATAACATAAAATTGATGCCACTTAATTCCACTATAAAAATTAGCATCTGTGTTTTCAGTTGAAAATTACTTAAGGGCTGAAGAGATGGCTTAGAGGTATAGAGCACTGGCTGCTCATGTGGAGGACCTGGTTTGGTTCCCAGGGCCCTCATGGCAGCTCCAGACAATGTGCAATTCTAGTTGCAAGGAATCCAGTGCCCCTTTTGACCTCAGATGGCCTGCTCAGGCACACACACACACACACACACACAAAATACTCTTACACAGGAAATAAAAATAAATGTGAAAGGAAAAGGAAAATGACTTATTGCTGGGCATGACACCTCAAGCCTATAAGCTTCACACTTGGGAGGCTGTAGTGGGAGGGATCATTCCAGGTTGGTGGCTAACCTGAACTACATAGCAAGTATTAGGCCAGTCAGAGACCCCATCTCAAATAAATAAATAAGAAAGAAGGAAGGAAAGATGTGACCGTTGGAGATGAAAGTAGCTCAGTACCAAGACCTTGGGTTCAGTCCATAAAATAAAAAACAATGGAAGGCTGGGCTGTGATGACGAAGCCTTTAATCCTGGCACTTAGGAGGCAGAAGCAGGTTAGGTCTCTGTCGGTTTGAGGCCAGCCTGGTCTACAGAGAGAGTTCCAGGATAGCCAGGCCTTCACAGAAAAACCTTGTCTTTTTAAAAAGAAAGAAAAAAAAAAGTTGAAGCAGAAAATAAAATAGAATATTACTTTTGCAGGACTCTGATTTTGGGGTTTTTGCTGTTGTTTTTTTTAAGAGAAGGTTTCTCATAAGGCTGGCCTCAAACTTACTATGTAGCCAAACCTGACCTAGAATCTCTGCTTTTCCTACCTCTTCCTTCCAAGTGCTGGACTATAGGTGTGCTACCATCATGTCTAGCTACAAAAATATTTCTAATAAGGTACAGCCATGAGTCAGGCATGGTTGCTGTCTAGAACTTGAGCAGCAGAGGCAAGGGGAGTCACTACAAGTTCTGAGGACAGTGTGAGCGCCACAGAACCACAGAATGAGTTCCAGGCAAGCCTGGTCTCCATAGCAAGATTCTGTCTCAAAAAGAACAAAAAAACAAAAACAACAACAACAAAAAAGCACAAAGAAAATGTACACCTAAGACCAAATGCTGCTAAAATTCATTTGACAAACATTTATTCACTTTGTCATCTGCTACTCGAAATGAGAAGTGTTTTCTTGTTTGGTTTGTTGTTGGTGGTGGTGTTTGCCTTGTAGATCTTTTTATTGTGTATTATTTTTTCTATATTTATTTATTTATTTTGGGAAGGAACACTCATGTGCCACAGTGGGCATGTGGAAATCAGAGGACAACTTATGGGTGTCTGTTCTCCTTTCCGCCATGTGGGTTCCAGGGATGGAACTCAAGCCACCAGGCTTGTCAGCAAGTGCTCTTACCTGCTAGGCCATCTTCCAGCCTCATGAGAGTGATGTAGTAGTGGTGATAGGTCTCATGTAGCCCAGGCTGACCTCCAACTGCTAGATAAGACCTAGAACTCATAGCCTTCCTACCTCCAGTTCTCCAGGTTTGTGCCACCATGCCTCAGGGCTTTATGAGCACCAGGTGTCTTAGTTTCCCTCCCAACGGTAAGCAGTATTGTGGAGGAAGGGTTTATCTAGCTCAGGGCTCCAGGTTACATGTAGTCAGTCATCACTGCAGTGAACAGACCTAAAGACAACTGGTCACACTGTGTGCATGGTGAGGAGCCAAGAACATGAAATCATGCTTGCTTGCTTGTGCTCAGCTCAGCTTCTCCAAATTAGAATGGTATCACCCACAGTGGGCTGGGTCTTCCCACATAATTAAATTACAACCTCCCATAGACATGCCCATGGACCAGCCAACATCTTGCCTCTTTCCTGGGTGATTCTAGGTTGTCAGGTTGACAGTCATAAGAAACCATCACACAAGGCAAGCACTCTAGTATGATCTGCACCCCAGCCCCCAGTTACAAAAGCTTAGTTTAAAAAGATATTTATTTTAATGTGTGTAGGTGTCTTGCTTATATGCATGTCTGTGTACCATGTGCTTCCCTGGGACCCACAGGGGCCAGAAGAGGGCGATAGATCCCATTGAACTAGTGTTATAGATGGTTGAGCCATGTGGGTGTTGGGGACTGAACCTGGAGCCTCTGCAAGAGCAGCCTGTGCTCCTCAATACTGAGCCATCTCTCTGGCCCCCAAAAGTTTTTGTTTGTTTTTAATGTACAGCACAAAATCTTAACATTGTTCTATATATTCACCTTTATCTGTGAACCTAGGAAAGGACTTTTCCCTTCAGTTTGGGCCACAGATATCTTAGTCCAGTAGAACAAAGAGTTGAGCAGGGACATGTTTCAAGAACCAGAACCAGCCGGGTGGTGTTGGTGGTGCATGTCTTTAATCCCAGTACTCGGGATGCAGGGACAGGTGGATCTCTGTGAGTTTCAAGCCAGCCTGGTCTACTGAGTTCCAGGACAGCCAGGACTGTTACACAGAGAAATCCTGTCCCTGTCTCAAAAAAAGCAAAAAGAAAACAGTAATCTATAGTTTCTATGTTATTTGGGGTTCATAGAGGCAGTCTCTATCTTCGTTTACCTACTAGATGTCAAGGAGTTAAATAAAGCACAGCGCCTACCTTTTGGGGTTTGTATCCTCTGGGAGCAACGATTACAATACTCTGAGATGGGGCAGGGACTGTGATAATATACAGTTACTGGAGTTATATCCTCTCACATTCAAGGCTCCATTAAAATATTTAAAATACATGGATGTGGGGGTAGGCTTGGCAGGATGATTCAGGAGGACTGCTGAACAACATCCCCAGAACATCTACATGGTAGGAGACAGACAACTCCCAAAGGTTGTATGTTCACACACACACATGCAGTGGGGGTGGTGAATGCTCGCTTTTTATTATCGTGCTGGGTATCTAACCGAGACCTCTCAAATGATAGACCCATCTTTTCATTAAGACACTCTCTCAGGGGCCTGAGCCTTGAACCAAACAACTAATTCTAGGTGTGGTTCCCAATGATACGGAGACACATAAGAGAAGCATATCATATCAGGGTTCATGGAGTAGCTTCCAGAATTATCAAGGGGTCCCATTCATACTTGTAGCCCATGACTTTTTGCATCCTATTCAGGACCGCCTGCCTAGGGGATGTTGCCACCCACAGTGGGTTGGGTCTTCCCACAAAATTAAGTTTATTACAATACCCTGTATACACACCCACAGACTAACCAATCACTCACTGACTCTTCCCCAGAGACTCTAGGTTGTGTCAAGTTGACAGTTAAAATTATCAAGGCTCCCCTGTTACGATGGTCATGGACTTCCCTGCTGAACTGTAAACCCCAATAAACTTTTATTTAAAAAAAATATCCCTGTCTCAAAAGACCAATAAATAAAGAATTGTCAAGGCTAGAGCACAACTCAATGGGTCAGCATCCATGCAGTTATGCATGGTGACAACTCACCCACAGGACCTTGAGGGTCGACTCTCACCTAAATTCTGTGTTTCTTCTCCTACAACCAGCTTCTGAAAGCCAAAACGGGAACGGACCAAGCACCCAACCGGGCCCTGGCGGTGGCCCCCATCCCTCTCACACTGCCTCACATGCCCCCAGCACCCGAATCACTCGAAGCCAACCAAACCACACACCTTCTGGCCCCCCTGGCCCCTCCAGCAACCCTGTCAGTAACGGCAAAGAAACCCGCAGGAGCAGCAAGAGATAGCAAGAGACAAGTCCTCTCCCTTCCACCACGACCAGACCAGGTGTCTGCCCGAGAACAAGACAGTCTCCTACTGGGCTTCTGGCCTTGAGATTGGAGGGTGGAGTAGCTTCCCTGGAGGGGTGGTGAGCAGTGGCCTAACCCACCTCAAGCTCCTGCCCTCCTTGTCCTGCTGACGTTGCCTGTCCCCTGGGATCCAGGGCCCTCTGCCTGCCCTCCTTCCTCTGGAAAAGACAGTCTGTTTGTGTGTGGGGGTGGGGGATAGGAGGGTCTCCTTCCTAATAAATGTGCCCACTCTCTTCCGGACTGCTTTGTTTTTCCTAGGAATGGAGGTTAGCAGGTATGCAGTTAGGGAGTGTGGTGCCCAGGCAAGGAGGCCTTGGGCAATGCAAGCCTGCCCCTTTAAGGTAGTGTCCCTCCCCTGCCCCCTCCCTGCAGGTGACCCTTGTAGAGAGTTGCCTGCCACAAGAAGGCTGGGTGCCCCTTCCTCTGGGTGTCCTTTCTGTCTCCCGTCCTGCTGTCAGGTAATGCCAACCCCAAACCCCTGAACCAATCACCCTAATCAGACTTTGATCCCCAACCTTAAGCCAGGTCAGGTGTCAGGGGAGCCTGTTCTGGCGCCTTTTCCTCAACAGGGCCTCTTCCCCTTTGTTGTTCATTGATTACAGAGAGTGCTGATAGTTACTGCTTGCTGGAGTGGGAAATTGCTCTCTCTTCTGCTTCCCAGGGTGAGGGACTGCTAAGAACAGCTTCTTTGCTGAATGTGTCTGGGATTGCTACTTATCTGCCTCTTCCCCTGCTCTCCCCCCCTCACCCCACCCCCCCAGTTTAGGGACACCTTGGTTCAGCTTTCCAGGGAGTGTGGGGATGGGGTTGGAAGCAGATGAAGCAGCTCAGTACCAGATGTAAGGTACTCGGGGAGTGGATATTCAGAAGACTGGGGGAGGGGGGGGGTACCGAATGGGTTATAAAATATTTAAGAGGAAAGAAACTGAGCACAGGTTCTTAACCATGTGGCTTCCCCAGGGCAGAGGGTGGCCCCTCCCCAGACAGGGCCTAGCAGAGACTGACTTTTGACCCCCCCATCCCAGAGACCAGTGAACCATTAACTCCTATATGAACCTTCCCACACTTGCCCCGCCCCCGGCTCCGCCCCAAAGCCAATGGGAAGGGGAAACCTATCCATTTCAGTCCTGTATGGGACGTGGCTTCCATTGCATCTGAAGGCTGAACTCCTGACTCAGGAATCTCTTAAGGGCCACAGTGAGGCCTTCCAGGGACCTGCGGTAACATCTCTCACATTGCCAGTAGGGGTGAGGCCCTGGATATTACGGGGGAATAGGGAGCTGGAGCAAAGTGAGAGGTGGGTCTAGGGAACCCAAGATGTTAGCCCACTTTGGACCACATGCAGGGAGAACTCTGGGTCAGGAAGCTGCTGCAGAAGGCAGAGGGGAGGGACAGAGGCAGTCTCAGATTAAGCTACATCAAGGGTATATGACCGCCCTGAGCTGAAGGGCAGAATCCCTGACCTGACCCCAACACCCCCCTCCTTGTTCTAGGACACAATCCTCAGGATGTTCCAAGGAAAATAGAAGTCAGAACCAGAGGCCCTAACCCACACCCCAGTGATGGGGCCCCCAGTGCGCCGTCTGTTGGCTGGCTTGTGTGTGGGGGTGGTCTTGGGCTGGGTAGGAGGCTCAGTCCCCAGCCTGGGCCCAGCTGAACAGGAACAGAACCACTACCTAGCCCAGCTGTTTGGCCTGTATGGAGAGAACGGGACACTGACTGCAGGGGGCCTGGCTCGGCTTCTCCACAGCCTAGGGCTGGGCCGAGTTCAGGGGCTTCGCCTGGGACACCATGAGCCTCCAACTGGGAGAGCTGCACCCCCAAGTGGCGACAATTTCACACACAGGTATTCATCTCTCTTTCAACCCCCAAAGGTCACATTTCCCAGCTCCACTCAGTGCTAACTCTCTAGTTGCCTAGTGCTGGCTTCTTGAAATGAATGACAAGTCCTCTAGGCCCCAGCTGCTCAGTGTCCTGCAAAGTCTGGCTTACCTCTATTGACTTTTAATTCTCCCATCTCCAGATCCTTGGGTCCTCAAAAGCCTTGGTCTTGATATGCACGTCTCCAGGCTGACTTGGCTTTCAATATGGAGGCCTTCTGGCTTCTCCCCCCAGACCCACAGCTACCCACCCTAGGCTGTCCCTTCACCAGACTCAGGGCAGGTGCCTGGGAACTTGAGTGAGTCCGACTCTTAATTCATCTGATCTAGGCCCCAGGAACCGGAGCTGAGTGTGAATGTCTGGGCAGGAATGCCTCTGGGTCCTTCAGGCTGGGGTGAACTGGAGGAGTCAAAGGCCCCCGATCTGCCCCATGAGCCAGGGCCCTCAGGCCTAGACCTCTTTCACAGACTTCTGCTGCTGGACCATTCGTTGGCTGACCATCTGAATGAAGATGTAAGTCTGATGGTCTCTAGAGAGGGAGCAGGAGCCATTGCACTAGGTGGCCCAAAGTATTTGAAGAGGCAGTAACTGAAGAGGCAGTAACTGAATAGTTAGTTAGTATTAGATATGTTATTCTAATAGTGAAAGATAACTCCTTTGGCTTTAGTGCAGGCTGACCAAACTCAGGAGCCAAACTTAACACACAGTTCAGAGAAGTATCTTAGGATGGTTATGTGAAGAGGTGTCCTGGAGACGACGCTGTCTATCTAGAAAAAGTCACCATTTTTCCTTGTTTTGCATCCACAGGAAGGCAGCAGACAAAGCTGTCAGGTCCTGAGATTGGTTGACATGGCGCATCAGAAGGGGCATTCCAGCCTAGGCTGGATCAATACATGACAGGGGTGTTGACAAAAGACAGACAGCCTGTCAGATTCTTTCCCTTCTAGGATTATGGTATGGAGGGCTCTAGTCTAGCTGCCAAAACAGCTCCATCACTAAAACAAAGAGATTTCCAGGGCATGAGAGGGAAATGACAGCAGTAGTCACTAGAAAACTGAGAAATTCACACTGAATACTTACAACAGACTGAATATTCACCAGTGATTAACACACATTGAGTCCCCTTATCCCCGGCTCTAATGCACATGTCAGTGTGAGCCAAGGGGACCCTAAGAGAGAACTGGGACTCCATGGAGAACAGATGTTGAGATCTGGGCTGTAGTTCACTGTGACTCCCTAACACACCATCCTCTCCTCAATCTCAGTGTCTGAATGGTTCCCAGCTGCTGGTCAATTTTGGCCTCAACCCTGTTGCTCCTCTGACCCCTCGTCAGTTTGCTCTGCTATGTCCAGCCCTGCTTTACCAGATTGACAGCCGTGTCTGCATCAAAACCCCAGCTCCAGCACCTCCAGGAGACGTACTGTCTGGTCAGTGAATGAGAAGGGGGGGCAACACCCTGCATCCTGGTAGGGAGGGGGGTCTCTTGCTGAGGAAGGGGGCTCACTGGGGTCCAATGTCCCTTTAGTGTATCTCTGCCCACATAGTGCCTCTGGGCTAGTCCTGGCCTAACATTAGCCTCACTATTTTTCCTTCCCAGCCCTGCTTCATAGTGCCCTGGCAGTCCTGCTGCTCAGCCTCCCTGCTCCCCTCTCCCTGCTGCTGCTGAGGCTCCTGGGACCTCGTGTGTTACGGCCGGTGTTAGGCTTCCTAGGGGCCCTGGCCGTGGGCACCCTTTGTGGAGACGCATTGCTACACCTGCTGCCCCACGTATGTGAAGCTCCATCTTCATACCCTGATCCCGTGGCAGCTAGCCTCCATGGATCCCTGTGTTCCTAGCCACAGACCCCTTGCCACTCTCTATCTGCTCCCACATCCTAAACCCTCACCTCTGGCTTCAGTCACAGCTGCCTTCACTGGGAGAAGGGGATGCTGTTGGGGGTAGGGGTTTCCAGGGTCTGCTCTGATCTACTTTCTGACAGGCACAAGGAGGGCAACACACAAGACATAGTGAGCAACCAGAGGAGGATCTGGGTCCAGGGCTATCAGTGCTTGGTGGCCTCTTCCTGCTCTTCGTGCTAGAAAACATGCTAGGACTTGTGCGGCACAGAAGGCTCAGGCCAGTGAGTGACACCCTTTTCTTCTACCAAACCCAGAATCCTAGCCAGGCCAGGAAATGAGGGGCACCGTGTGTTTCTGGACCTTGGCTGCTTGGCCAATTACACAGGACTTGTCTGCTACTGAGTGGGCATGGGCCTCTTAGCATAGACCCAGGACTTGTGGCCAAATGGCTTCTTTTCTGCAGTTCCTAACATTAAACATAAGGAAATGCCAACCTGGGAACGGGCATAGGTCAAAAAAAACATTCTCCAGGTGCTAGAAAGTGGAACCAGGTGTTCATTTTCCCAGCTGCTGGCCTGGTCTCCCCTTAGTCCCTGGCCCTGCTGCCTCCTCCACCAGGAGGGATGCCCTCCCATTTCAGAGATGCTGCAGGAACAAAAGGGATCTTGGAGAACCAAACCCTGACCCAGAGGACGGCAGTGGGATGGTCCTTCGACCCCTACAGGCAACTTCAGGTGACTAGAGGAGAAAATAAGTACACTAAGGAACTAGCCTGTAGTTCCCACTTGCAGTTACCCGACACTTGTCCTGGTCTTCTCACAGCAGAACCAGAGGTTCAGGGCCAGGGAGAGAACAGCCAGTCCCCACCAGCTCCAGCCGCTCCTAGGCACCGAGGCCACAGTCACGAGCATCGGGGTGGCAGCAGTCCTAGTATCGCATGGATGGTTCTCCTGGGAGATAGCCTTCACAACTTCACTGATGGGCTTGCACTAGGTTTGAGGCCACCCACGGGAGCGGAGGTGGGAGGCAGGGCTTTGAACCAGCAGGGACGGGAGAGCTGCCAGGAAGGTGGGAGAGGTGAGAGATGGAGCAGAGAGCAACTTCCAACTTTCTTCAAGAACAGCCTTTGATTCTGATGCCAGGTGCCGCCTTCTCTGACGGCTTCTCCAGTGGCCTCAGCACCACCCTAGCAGTCTTCTGCCACGAGCTGCCCCATGAACTGGGTAGGAATGGCAAACACAGGGTAGGTGGGCTCCAGAAAGGAGGCCTCTGAGGACAAAGTGAGGGGCAGCTCCGATTCACCCTCCTGTCCTTTGTCCCCCCAAACAGGTGACTTTGCCATGCTGCTTCAGGCAGGGCTGTCATTCCGGAGGTTGCTGCTGCTAAGCCTTGTTTCTGGAGTCCTGGGACTGGGGGGTGCAGCCCTCGGGGTGGGGCTCAGCTTGGGCCCTGTTCCCCTCACTCCCTGGGTGTTTGGGGTCACGGCTGGGGTCTTCCTCTATGTGGCCCTTGTGGATATGGTGAGAGATGGGGGATGGGCAGGGGGGTGTGGAGGAGAGGGAAGTGCCAGTCTGTCCATCTCCATCTCTAGGTCTGGAGAGTAGCGGCCCATGGCCCCACCAGAAAAAAAGTATCCGAAGGTGGGGGGGCACAGGATGGGGCAAGCTTGGTGGCATACACCTTCAATCCCATTGCTCAGGAAGGAGCAGAGTTCGAGGTCAACCTGGTCTACACAGAGGGCTGCAGGCCAGCAGGGCTAGACAGTGAGCTCTTGCCTCAGAAGAAGTAAACAAATAAGTGCCATAGGTAAGAGCAGAGTCCTGCTGACAGTCTCCTTTCCTTCCAGCTACCAGTCCTGCTGCGTCCTCCGGAGCCCCTGCCTGTGCTCCATGTGTTCCTGCAGGGGCTGGGGCTACTGCTGGGGGGCAGCCTCATGCTTACTATAGCCCTGCTGGAGGAACAGCTACTGCCCATGGTTCCTGATAGCTGATGGGGGCCAGTGGCAAAGGATCCAGGCTGCCCTTCCTTCCCCCCAACCACAGGAACGGAGGCGGGACACAGGGCCAGTAGGAGCAATAGGACTTTAATAAACAGAACCCGTCCCAAAGCCATGACTACGACAGTTGTACTTGCACCAAAACAGCATAGAAAACCGGGGTGTGGTGGGAGGGCTCAAAGCAGGTTGGGGGAGGACAAGAGTGGGGGCCTGGAGGATGTGGGGTGCGTCAGTCTTCAGGGATAGATAGCATTGTGCTTTAGCCCAGGTAGGAGGGGGAGGGGCAGGGCAAATGCACCAAGGTCCCCCTTTTTTTCTGCTGCCCTCAGCACCCTGGGGTGCAGGTATCTGGGCTTTATTGCTGCCTGCCAGCATTAAACACCCCTGACCCCAACACTAGCACCACAGGTGGATTGAGGGTAGGGAGCAGGGCCAGAGTGGGAAAATTGCTTAGAGAAAGATTCAACTAGAATCCAGTGAGTTGTGCTCAGTTCTCTTTACTTCCTACAACCGAGTACATGGGTCACAGGGTGGAGGGTGCAACAGGACATGGGACATGCCCCTCCGTGCCCCCCAACACACCTGCACACAGGACGGTGGTATCTGCAGCATCACAGGTCATGCAGGGCATGGGGAAGGGGAGGCTCACACACATAGATGCCCACAGTGGGTACCAGACAGAACACCCCTGAATATACACGCCTGTACATGGGAACCCCAGGTCCCCACCCAACCCTCTCCCCTGTCTTGCTGTTCCCCAGCAGGGGAACTGTATTGCTTTGAGAGAGCCACCCTGGGGCTGCTCTGCCAGGCACCCTCCCCTCCCTCCCACCCACCCCTATTTTGGCACATCTGCAAGACACACGGCAGCGAGAGTAGG